TAATGCATATTAAACTTAAAAGTGTAAATTTTTGGAGAGCCTGTTGTTAAAAATTTACCAGCACGCTCTTGGAAGTAAGAGTAGGTAACCAAGGGTGAATACAGAGATGTGATAGTGTTAAGAGTGCTAAAGCTTAGGGAGGGTGGTAGGCAATGCAATGGGTAATTGTAGCTCAGGAAGACGCTGCATCATTCTCCACTTTGTTGAGTCTCTTCTTACAATTCAGAGGAGCCTAGATGGCTCCAAATTATGAGGTCCTCCCTGGACATAACCTTAACTTCTCTATAAAAAGAGAAGAGATGAAGGTGAGATTTCAAAAGACTCGAAGGCAAGGAATTAGTGCAACAGGATAAAAAGATATCTGTGCTTTGTGTCTTCTTTTTTTCCCTTCTTTACTTTTCCCTTTTTCCTTCAAGATGTCAGCACTACAAGCTGAGGAGAGGCAATGGTAGCCTCAATGGGGAGCCTGAATGCTAATGATGGAGAAGTGTGGGTATCAAGGATTGGAGCTATGAACAGGATCACACAGAAACAGCTGAGATCTGGCAGCTATCAAAGCTTGTATATCCATGTATGTATATAAGTATACACACATATACACACAATATGTATGTATGTATATATATGGTATTTTGTTCTACATTATCAAAAACGGTGGGACCATAATATACTGTGTTTTAATCTCTGAGCATTGTGGGAGGAAACCTGAGAGAGTGGAGTACTCCAAAGAAGTGGGTGTTTTGAATCAGCTGTAGATAGTAGATTTCATGTTTTAATATGTAATCAATATTTCATCAACTTCCTGGATTAAATTGGAACATGGCCCAGAAAATAAAAAGTGCTTCTGAGTGAAGCCTTCCAAAGCAAGGATCCTTCTCTAGCAGGGAAAGTGCAGCTTGTTAAAGGATCTGTTAAGACCTGACTTTTTTTTTTTTGTGAGGCAATCAGGGTTAAATGACTTGCCCAGGGTCACACAGCTAGTACGTGTCAAGCGTATGAGGCTGGATTTGAACTCAGAAGACCTGACTTTGTAAAAATAGTCTTTCTTTGTCTCTTTATCTTGATATATATATGTGTGTGTGTGTGTGTGTGTGTGTGTGTGTGTGTGTGTGTGTGTGTGTGTATGTATGTATGTATATGTATATATGGAGTGACAGAGAACTCAAACACAAATAAAGTTTAAAAATAAATTTAAAAAATCTTCTGTATAAGATGAGTTTCTAAAATAAGGTCTAGATTTATTATTATTATTTTTAAAACTATCTTGCACATACTGAAATGCTTTGGACAGCCAGTTGTTTTAATGTATGAGTTTCAACAAATTGAGACAAACCTTTTTCTAAAGCTACATACTTTAGGATTGGGTGACTATAAAGACCTATTGTGTTTGATGAGCCTAATAGTTTTAAATTATTTTATCCTACTATTTGTAGGAAATACAGCCACAGGTACTAAAGGAGGGAAGGGAAGTCATCTTTGGCAATTTGCTTAGGGCAAGCAGAAATTTCTGAATGAGTAATACAGAATGTTGAATCCCCTATTTACTGTTCATTTATCTCTTTGGATAGGTTAGCTACTGGATTTTTAGTTTTTATTTGTAAAATAATAAAAAATTATACTGCTTATAGAGAATGATGGTATTCCACTTAACCGTCCTTAGCTTTTTTTTTTTTTTTCAGAATGTCAAGTTAATGCTTTAGAAATCTCTTGGGGGGGGGGAGCCAAGATGGTGGAGTAAAAGCAGTGACTTGTTGAGCTCTCCCCCAAACCCCTCCAAATACCTGTAAAAATGGCTCTAAACAAATTTTAGAGCTGCAGAACCCACAAAAAGACTGAGTGAAACAAATTTCCAGCCCAAGACAACCTGGATAGTTGATTAGAAAGGTTTATCACACCAGGAGATAAATGCGTGGCATACAGGCAAAACAGGCCTCAGCTAACCTGGAGCAGGCTTCAGAGGACTGAATCATGGGCAGCTGTGGTGCTTTCCAGACTTCTCAACCCACAAATGCCAAAGACAACTTAGAAGGTCAGTAGGAAAAGTCTGTGACCACTGTGAGAGAGAAGGTAGGTCACAGCCTCAGTCCCCAAGCTTGGCTGGGATCATGAGCAAACCTTGCAAGAAGTGTCGAACCACAGAATCATTTTTTGGTAACAAAGAAGATCAAAACATACAACCAGAAGAAGACAACAAAGTCAAAGCTCCTATATCCAAAGCCTCCAAGAAAAATATGAATCAGTCCCAGGCCTTGGAAGAGCTCAAAAAGGATTTTGAGAAGCAAGTAAGAGAAGTAGAGGAGAAACTGGAAAGAGAAATGAGAATGATGCAAGAAAATCATGAATTTGCTAAAGGAGACCCCCCAAAATACTGAAGAAAATAACACCTTAAAATAGCCTAACCCAAATGGCAAAAGACGTCCAAAAAACCAATGAGGAAAAGGATGCCTTAAAAAGCAGAATTGGCCAGATGGAAAAGGAAGTCCAAAAGCTCACTGAAGAAAATACTTCCTTAAAAATTAGAATGGAGCAAATGGAAACCAGTGACTTGATGAGAAATCAAGACATTGTAAAACAAAATCAAAAGAATGAAAAAATAGAAGACAATGTGAAGTATCTCACTGGAAAAATAACTGGCCTGGAAAATAGATCCAGGAGAGAGAATTTAAAAATTATTGGACTATCTGAAAGCCATGATAAAAAAAAAAAGCCTAGACATCATCTTTCAAGAAATTATCAGGGCAGCTAGGTGGTGCAGTGGGTAGAGCACTAACCCTGAAGTCAGGAGGACCTGAGTTCAAATCCGGCCTCAGACCAAAAACTTGACACTTACTAGCTGTGTGACCCTGGGCATGTCACTTAACCCCAATTGCCTTAAAAAAAAAAAGAGAAATTAGCAAGGAAAACTGCCCTAATATTTTAGAACCAGAGGGCAAAATAGAAATAGAAAGAATCCACCAATCACCTCCTGAAAGAGATCCCCAAAGGAAAACTCCTAAGAATATTGTAGCCATATTCCAGAGTTCCCAGGACAAGGAGAAAATATTACAAGCAGCCAGAAAGAAATAATTCAAGTATTGTGGAAACACAATCAGGATAACACAAGATTTAGCAGCTTCTACATTAAGGGACTGGAGGGAATGGAATATAATATTCCAGAGGGCAAAAGAGATAGGATTACAACCAAGAATCACCCACCCAGCAAAACTGAGTATAATCCTTCCGGGTAAAAAATGATCATTAAATGAAATAGGGGACTTTCAAGCATTCCTGAGGATAAGACCAGAGCTGAATATAAAATTTGACTTTCAAATACAAGACTCAAGTGAAATGGGAAGAGGTAAACAGGAAAAGAGAAATCATAAGGGACTTATTAAGGTTGAACTGTTTGTATTCCTGCATGGAAAGATGACATTTGTAACTCATGAGACCTTTGTCAGTATTAGGGTAGTTGGAGGGGAAAAAATATGTATAGATAGATTGATAGATAGAGGGCACAGGGTAAGTTGAAGATGAATGGGTAATATCTGGAGAATAAAATTAAGGGGTGAGAGAGGATTATATTGGGAGAAGGAGAAAGAGAGAGGTAGAATGGGGTAAATTATCTCACATAAAACAGACAAGAAAAGGCTTTTACAGTGGAGGGGAAGTAGAGGAAGGTGAGAGGAAATGAGTGAATCTTATTCTCATTGGATTTGGCTTAAGGAGAGAATACCACACACACTCAATTGGGTATGGAAAGCTATCTTACCCTACAGGAAAATAGGGGGGAAGGGGATAAGAGAGCAGGGAGATGATAAAGGGGAAGGCAGATTGAGGGAGACGGTAATCAGAAGCAAACACTTCTGAGGAGGGACAGGGTCAAAAAAAGAGAATAGAATAAACAGGGGGCAGGTTAGGATGAAGGGAAATAAAGTTAATTTTCCATATCATGACTATTATGGAAGTGTTTTGCATGACTACATAAGTATAATCTGTATTGAGTTGTTCGCCTTCTCAATGAGAGTTGGTGGGGAGGAGAAAGGGAGAAAATTTGGAACTCAAAGTTTTAAAAACAAATGTTAAAACATTGTTTTCACATGCAACTGGGAAGTAAGGTATACAGGCAATGGAGTATAAAAATGTATTCTGCCCTATAGGAAAATAGAAGAAGAAGGGGATAAGAGAAGGGGTGGGAGATAGTAGGGAGGGCAGATTAGGGGAAAAGACATTCAGAATGCACGGGCAAGGGACGAGATGGGGAGAAAATTTAGAACTCAAAATCTTGTGGATGTGAATGTTGAAAGCTAAAAATAAACAAATTAACGAATCTTAAAAAAAAAAAAAGAAATCTCTTCGAAATTTTCCTGACCTATTATGTGGTTTGACCCATAATTTCTGGTCATTCTGGGGACCACAATATTTCCATTCTCATTTTTCAATGTACATGCATATGTTGTATATACCTCTAGGTACAGCAGTTTAAATTGTTTTGTAAAGGAGATGGGTAGCATTTATTTCCTTTTTATCTTTTCATTTCCCCCAAAAATTATGATTTAAAACAATCCTATTTTGAAAAGTCTCAATCCATCTTGGGACCTTATAAACAATGACTAAAATATATCCAAATAGTTACTAAAACATATCCCAAACTGTCACTAAGATATATCTAAAGCCTGTACCTGTGAAGATTTAAATGGACCTGAAAGAAATTCAGTGGTTCCTTATGATTTCTGGGATAAAATTGAAAATAGTTCATTTAGAAGTATCATTTTTACCTGGCCTTTTCAATTGTTTTTCATTGTCACAACAGCAGAAGTTTTAAGGCTACTGATACAATGAAAGGTATCCTGAATGCTCTAAGCTTTATTCTTTTATCCAATAAAACATTTGAATGCCAATCACACATATCTCAGGCATTATGCAATTGTACGAACTACTTCCCAATGGGGAAGGGGGAGGGGGCTGAGGTTTTGGGAAAAGAGGAAGGACTCAAAAGACTTTATATTCTTCCTGAGACTGAGGTGGAGCAGAGCTCCAGGGAAGGCAGAGGGGCCGGGAGCTCCTGGCTGGATTCTGGGTGCTCCTCTTTCCCCTCCTTTTGGATCTGAGATTGCAGCCATCACCTAGGTCAAGATCAAGGTACCCTTCTGGTGAGGAAAGGTGAGCAGGGGGTGATGATGAGTAGAGAAACACAAGGTAGAAATGTCTCTGCTCTGGACAAGGGCTGAAAAAATTTGGGGGAGGAGGGGATCTCCAGGGCTCTATATCTTTGGTCTGAATCAGTCTGAACCAGGGTTTTCATGAATGGAGGGAGTTCCTTGCTATGGAAATTCTATCCACTTGTGTAGATTGGCAGCTCATTTGGAGTGGCCCAGAGGCAAAGTATTATGGTAGAAAGAACTCTGGCTCTGGAGTGAGGCTTGTGTTCATATCTCACCTCTGATGATGCTTGCTATCTGGGTGATCCTGGACAAGTCAATTCATCTCTCTCAGATCCAGTTTCCTCATCTGTAAAATGGGGAGATTGAACTACATGATCTTTGTGGTGTTTTCCAGGTCTGATACTATGATCTATGATGCTGAGTGGCACCTAGTAAGGCCTTTATTTTGGTTCCAAGATGTATCCTAATACATAGAGACCCCATGGTATAATAGACCGCCAGACAAGGAGTCAGCAAGAACTGTGTTCAAATACTGCCTCAGACACTTCCTAGTTTATGATTGTGGCCAAGTCACTTAGCCACTCTGGGTCTCAGTTTCCTCATCTGTGAAATGTGGGGGTTGGATGCAATGACTCCTAAGGCACCTTTTGGCTCAAAACTGTTGTAGCCAGGTTTTATATAGTGCTTTAAGGTTTGCAAAATGCTTTATAAATATTATCTTTTTTTAATTCTCATAACAATCCTGTAAGTTAGGTGCAAGATCATCCCCCCAGCCCCCATTTTGCAGAAGGGGAAATCGAGGCTGACAGAGGCTAAATAACTTGTTTGGGGTCTGAGGCTGGATTTGAACTCAGGTCTTCCTGACTCTAGGCTCAGCACTCTATCCAAGGTGCCACTTTGTAAGCCCAACCCACCCATGTCCCAGTTGCTAACCCTGTTCTCAATCCTCATCTCATTGTCTAATCCTGACCCTCATCTGAATCCCAGAATCTAAATCTGACCATATCTGTGTGCTGATCTTGGACCCTGACGCCATCTGCATACTGATGTCTTGATCTAATTCCAATTTGAAAAACAGTTCTGAACCCTGACTCTAATTTTCTAATCCTTGACTTTCATCAAAGGGCAGCTAGGAGGCTTAGAATCTAGAAGAGTCACCTTTATGAGTTTAAGTCCAGCTCAGACACTTACAAGCTGTAAGTCACCCTGGGCCTCTCCAGGGAGTGCCGTGGGCCTTGTGTTTAGGACCTCTGGCCTAGGGGATGGACAGGTGAGATGATCTGTCCAATGACATAGTCAATATTTGTCAGAGCTGGGACTCGAATCCTGATAAAGGAGGCTTGCTCCTTAATGCCTATTAAGCACTTTGAAAACAGTAAGGAATTTCTATGATTATTGATATATATTTACAATATAATATAATGTATCATATAATGTATTTATAACATAATGTAATATATAATAATATAATTTATAATATAAGTATATAATGTAATCTATCACGAACTATTATGATTATATAATGTACCATATTACATAATTATATGCCTTATTAATCATATACTATAATATATTATATATTATAATTATATGATGCAATATAGTATATATTATAATCATAAAACATAACACATAATGTCACAAGAATATAATGCACTATATGATATAATATAATATGATTATATAATGTATTATATTATATGCTTTATGATTATATGATATATTATATAATATTATATTATGTAATATATCAGATAATATAATTACCTAACATAGTATATTATATAATGTTGCAATAATATAATGTACGATATTATATAATAAAATTATATAATGTACCATATTATATACTATTATAGTTATATAATGTACTATAGTATATACTATTATAATTACATAATGTGCTACATTATATACTTCATAATATGATATAATATATTATGTAATATAATTATATAATGTAATATACTAGATAATATAATCATATGGCATGATACATTATATTACAATAATATAATGTACTATATTATATGATATAATTATATAACATAACTATATTATAAACTATTATATCATTTAATATATTATATACAATCATAATTATGTAACATAATACATTATATAATATAAATATGATCCTTATATCATGCAAGTGGAAATTATTATTCTGGGCCCTACAGTTCAGGAAGGATAGTGATAAATTGAAGAGTGTCCAAAGAAGAACCCATTCCTGCTACATGAAGAGTGGTGGAAGGACCTGGGAGAGCAGGGGAGCCCTTCAAAGAGAAGCCAGAGGGCAGACCGACTAGCTGTGGCCAAGCCTTTGAAGGGTTAACCTGGGGTGGGGGACCTGAGGCCTTGAGGCCACATGTGGCCCTCTAGGTCCTCAAGTGCAGCCTTTTGACTGAATCCAAACTTCACAGAACATTTGCGGCATGGAGGCCGCGGGTTCTCCATCCCTGGCATGGAGGAGGGATTAGATTTCTTCTCTCTCCCAGAGGGCAGAGTTAGGAGTCGCGGGTGGAATTAGTGAAGAGGAGGGTCTGGGTTTGAGGTCGGGAAGCTGCCGGGGTTCTTTCTCCACAGAAATCTTGACCCAGAGGCTGGATGACACTTGATCTGCCATACTGTGGGCGGGGGATTCTCGGGTGGGAAGGGCGTGGGTGGCGTGGGCCAGTGATGCTGTGGTTCCACAGACCTGGGGTGGGATCAGGGAGATCCCGCCTGGTTCATTTTGCTGCATGACAATGTCTATGCTAAGTAAATCAAGTGGAGAATCAGGGCACTCACACAGCTGTCAGCAAACTGGAGTTGATTTGATATCTGTTACCTCCAAACTCTCCATTTCCTATGTCCATCTTACTCATTATGTGGCTTCTATCTATCCAGCGCTTAAATTCCTCCCCTCCCCCCTCCCATTTTCTTGCTTCCCTTCATCCTTGATGAAGGTAAAGGGTATAGGGAATGAATATTTAATCATTGTAAACAAAATATGGTCAGAAAGTAAAATCTGCCACATGAATTTCATATAATATACTTCAAAGCCAACGATAAACTATTTGGGAATATTCTCTATCCTCTGTCTCTTTATCTCCTTCTGTTCCCTCTCTGCCTCTTTATCTCTCTCTCTCTGTCTTTCTGACTCTATTTCTGTTTCTTGTCTATCTGTCTCTCTCAGACACAGACTGGAGATTTCTTCATTATAAGGAACTCCCAGTGTGGAAATTCCCCTCCCCAAATTCAGAAAAGTTACTTATCTGCAATGTCTAATCGTTGATATTTGCCTAGGGGCATTGAAAAGTTAGTGCAGTGGATAGAACACTGGGCCTGCAGTCAGGAAGACTCATCTTCACAAGCTCAAATCTGTTATCCTGACTATGATTCCATGATATTTGAATTGTTTCTTTTTGGCTGCTTGCAATGTTTTCTCCTTCACCTGGGAGCTCTGAAATTTGGCTATAACATTTCTGGGAAAACCCAGGAGTTCAAATCTGACCTCAGACACTTACTAGCTATGTGACCCTGGGTAAGTCACTTAACCCTGTTTGCTTCAGTTTCCTCATCTGCTGAGTTGGAGAAGGAAATGGCAAACCACTCCAGTATCACTGCCAAGAAAACCTCAAATGATCAGAAACAACTGAAAAATGACTGAACATGTAAAAATTAAGAGACCTATCCAAGTTCACATAGTATATATCAAAGCCTATAGTGGAATCTGACTCTGAGGCTGGTCCTGTATTCCTTAATCTTGGTATAAGGGAAAAAGCATTAACTCTGGAAGTTGAGAACCAGAGTTTAAATCCAGCCTGTGATGTGGCTTGTGCAACTTTGGACAAGTCACTTTCCATTCCTCTGGCTTATTTTCTTTATTTGTAGAATGGTGGTGGTCAGCTGGCCTCTGCAGTCCTTTCCAGCTGTGTATCTTTGGCCTGACTCTCTTAGGGATCGTCTGCTGTCTGACAATTTGCTCTTTTTAGAGTGAGATGGTCTACTCTTCTGAGAGCCCATGTGCCATCCCTCCCAGCTGAGATCATCCAGCCTTGATTGTCTGTCTTGGTCTCTTTTGGCCAAAGAGGAATTTGGGCATCTGGACCTTTCCACTAATTGTCTCCTCTGTCCCTCTCCTTCCTCTCCCCTCTTCACTTTACACGGGTAGTCTCAGCCTGAGAGGGAACTTGTGATGATGCATAGAAGAGAAAACTGAAAGCAGGACCCGGAAGAAAGCTCTAGAGCAGAAATGAAACTGAACATTGCCTTCCTTTGACCTTCACTGACATTTATTTATCCATCCCCTCCTGCTCATGTGACCTTGGCCAGATCACTGCCCCTCTCTTTGGCTTTGCCTCCTCATCTGTAGAATTTGTTTCTAGATCACTCTTCCTTTCCTCTTCATTGAACTCCCCCTCGAGGCAAAGAAAAGCATTTGATAAGAAGACTGTGTCTGACAAAGTGTCAGATATTGTGTCCTAATGGCCTCCCACCTTGATGCTGTGAGAGAGGAGCTATTTGCCTTTGTATCTTCTCTGGGATCTTCATTGGTTTTCTTATTAAGGAGAAGGAAATATCAATTCTGGCAGCAACCGTCAATCGGAGTTGTCATCTGGAAAGGGCTGAGTAACCGAAGTAATGAACATCTGAAATGCCCATCACAAATTTAGAATTAGAAGGGACAGCAGAAGTCTTCTAGTCTGAAGTCTTCTCATACTCTAGGGTCATCCTGGTCCCTTACACAGGTGGGAGAGTCAGGATTCAAACTCAGGACACCTGACTCCAAATGCAGTCTTTTCTCTGCTTTGTGCCAATCTGGCTCTTATGAACTTCCCTTCTCTTTAGGCTCTTAGGGACCCCTTCTGAAAGGGGAGAATGAATGGAGGATGGGTCAGAATAAGGTGAGAAGAAGTACAATGTGAACTTAAGGGGGCCTTGTGGCCAGAGAAAATACTTTTACATTTGGCTTTAAATAGAGGAGAAAGATGCATCCACAGCTGTCTAGGAAATGTGGCTTGAGGGCTTATGCACTTATATATTTCCCACATCCAGGTGCCATGGCCTTCAATTCCATTTGAGAGTTAGAGGGCCTCAGCAGCCATTCAGCCCAACCTACACATAGAAGGAATCCCCGCCCCATCACATCTAACAAGTGGTCACTCAGGCTCTGCTTCTTAAAGGAGAGGGACTCCTTGCCTCTGCGGGCAGCCCATTGCTGCATATGGCAGCCCTTCTAATATTTGAAGGCAGCACCATGTGCCCTCTCCAGGGTATGCATATCCAGTTCCTTCAGCTGATCCGTATGCGGCCTGAACTCTGGGTCCTTCACCATGCCAGTCACCCTTCTCTGAACGCTCTTCGGCTCACCAATGTCCTTCTTAAATGGCAGCATCTCAGACTGAACAAATTACTCCCAGTAAGGCCTAACCAGGGCAGAGGATAGAGACTGACTTTCCCGATGAGTGAGGATAGGAGTCTGGATCAGAGAATACTGAGAACATGGGAAAGAATTGAGAGCGTGGGTGCCCTAGGAGATATAGTTGAGAAGGGAGGGCTACCATCTTCCTGTAGACTGACATTGTGTGTGCAGGGCAGTGTAAGGTTAACACTTTCAGTTTAACTTTGTGATTCAAGAAACGAAAAGAATGTAGGAAGTAATTGGGACAAATGTGATTGAGTGCGAAGGAGAATGAATGGTTGTGATGACTTTGATACTAAGGAAGGAGTATGCATCCTGAATGCTAGAATGTCTTCAAAATGTTGGTGCCCTGTGGCAAGCCCTCTGTTGCTCAAGAAGATATGGGTTCAAATCCTGCCTCTGACTGTAACTATATGACCAGGATAAATTGTCAAAAGATTGTAGGATCTTTAATTTCAAGATGGAAGGAAATGGGAGGTCACAGAGCTCAACCCCTTTACATATGAGGAATCTGGGTCTCAGAGTTCACATGGATTTTAAGTGTTAGGTGGTATGGAAATCCAAGTTCTCCAGACTCCAAGTCCAGCATAATATCCTTTCATTGCCTCACTGAGTTTAAGACAGCCCTTATAATTCCTGAAGAAAACCCCATGAAGAGTCAGACAGCACTGAAAAAACGACTGACCAGCTCCATATGATGTTCATATTTGAATCAGTCAAGCTCATGTTCATCTTTGGCTGGTGCCTACCTTCTACCATCTCCTTCCCTCTCCCAACTAACATCTCTTCTAGTGCTGGTATTCTCTGATTCTTGTCTAAGCCTTCTGCTTAGCTGGATCCCTGACTGTCTTGTTTAATAAACATTTATTAAGTATTTACTCTGTGCCAGTCACTGTGTGAGGTACCAGGAATGGAAAGAATACATTCATTCACTCATTCATTCAAGTGCGTACTGTGTGCCAGGCACTGTGTTAGATTCTGGGGATGCAAATGTTGATTCATTCATTCATTCATTCATTCATTCATTCATTCAATCCTCCAATCAATGGGCAAGCATTTGTTAAGTACTAACTAGGTGCTTCTTGGATTCGTCTCTTTACTCATTTAATCAATTGATCAACTAAATTCCTGCTATGTGTTAGATATTGTGAGTCCTATCTTTGACCTTTCTTCACTAGCTTTATGGTCCTTAGAGGTCCTGAATTGTAGGATTCAAAACAGAAAAGAGCTCACACATCAGTAGTCTCACCTCTTGATTTTACAGATAAGTAAACTGAGGTCTAGGGAGGTGAGATGCTTTGCCCCATCACCTTTTGCATGGACTATTCCCAACTCCTCCCAGTTGTTCTCTTGACTTCTCATCTGTCCTCTCAAGGCTCCCAAAATCATCTTCCTGAAGCTCAAGTCTGACCATGTCACTCCCTGGCTCAAGAATCTTCAATGACTCCCTATTACCTCTATAATTAAATAGGAACTCTTTAGGTTTGTCAGTTAAAACCCTTCACAGTCCAGATCCAGACTAATTATTATCTAGGCTTATTACACATGACTTAATGTTTTAGCCAGTTAGACTGCTTGCAGTTCTTGGCATTTTATCACATGTCTCAAGCCTGTGGGAGGTGGCATGGGGAAAGGAAAGAAACATTTACTAAGTGTTTACTATGTGCCAGGCACTGTTCCAAGTGCTTACAAATATTACTCCATTTGAAATTCACACCTCTCCTGGGATGTTGGTGCTATCATTATCCCCATTTTACAGGTGAGGAAACTGGGGTTAAGGGACTCATCCTGGGTCACCCAGCTAACAGTAAATGTTGGCAGTCAGATTTGAACTCAGGTCTATCTGACTCCAAGCCTGTTGCTCTGTCTACAATGCCATGTGGGCAGTCTAATTGCTGCTATTCTCTTCCTTCTCAAATGATTGTGAATTTCTAGCTGTTCACATTCGGTATTCTCCCAGTGGAATGTAAGCTCCATGAGGGCAGGTACTTTTTTGTTTGGTTTTATTTTGGTTTGTCTCTGCACATTCAGCATCTAGCACAGTGCCTTTCTTGTAGAAGGCATTTAATAAACATTTAATGGCTTGAATGCCAGCGTGGAACATTGAATAGTTCACTGGTCCCAGAGGAGGACTTGGGTTCAAAACCCGTCTCTGATATTTACCAGTCATGCCATCTCTATGGGTCTCAGCTTCCTCAACTATGAAATGAAGGGATTGGACTAGATGGCTTCTGTGATTCCCTCCAGCTCCAGGATGCTATGAGCCTGTGGACTGGTGGTTAGTAGCAGAGCCAAGGGGCAGCGAGGTGGCACCATAGTGCACAGAGGTCCAGAAGACTTATCTTCCCGAGTTCAAACCCAGCCTCAGCTACTGAGTAGCTGTATGACCCTGGGCAAATCACTCAACCCTGTCAGCCTCAGTTTCCTGAGGCTGGAAAAGGAAATGGCAAACCACTTTGCTAAGAAAACCCAAATGGGGTTGTGAAGAGCTGGACACTGCTGAAAAAATGACTGCACACCGACAAAGAAGAGCCACGTTTCAAAATTAGTTTTTGTGATGCCACACCCAAAGCCGTGCTGTCTCCCTATGCTCTCGACCACCTGTTCTTCTTTGCTTACTTATCTCCAGATGAGCAGTCCTCTTGGGGAATGGCAAGAAAGGGAAAATTTTGGTTTTCTTTGCCCGTAACACAAATAGGGAAGTTGACATCGGGTTTCTAGCTTTACTCCCATCCTCCCTCCCCCTTTGCTGAGTCAGCATTTGGTTCTGGGGGCCCTGGGCAATACTGTGAAGTCTGCCTATTGTGCCACATCTCCCTCTGGTTCCTTCTTTCTTCTACTTTCTCTATTTCCCTCCACTTCCTTGATGTGGTTTTCAGCATCCTCCCTCCCCATCCTAGGATGCTACATGATTTGGGCTCTGGTAACCTCTCTGAGCTTCAGGCTCCTCATCTATCAAATGGGAATAGGAGTTGATCTAACCATCCTACATGAATTCCCCTTGTTGATTATTTCACCGGGGCAATTGTCAGGATCAGATGAGATAACGGAGTCAGTATGGAGTAGTGGGTAGAGTGCTGGACCTGGGGCCAGGAAGACTTGAGTTGAAATCCCACCTCTGACATCTACTATCTATGTGATTCTGAGCAACTCACTCCATGGACCTCATGCATGAAATGAGGGGGGAAGACCCCGAAGGTTGTTCCTAGATCTTGATCTATGATAGGATGGTTCCACTTTTTCCTACCCCCTGCCTCCAACTGTAGGTTCCAGAGGAAACTCAGCTCTTCCACTTGGTTACCACCCTCTACTTTCTGAAGGGTCTTACCTGGAATTAAGAGGGCTTGGGAAAGGATTCCTGTAGAAGATGGGATTTGAGTTGGGACTCAAAAGAAGTCAGGGAAGCAGGACATGGGGAGTGAGAGTGTTCCAGGCTTGGTGGGGAGCCAAAAAAATGTGTAAAGTGAGCAGAGTGAATGTCCATGGTCTCACTGCATCCTCCTAGACTCCTTTGGAGGTGGTCAGGGAAGGGGTTATTTCCATTGCATAGATGTGGAGACTGAGGACCAGAGAAGTTACTCAAGGGCACTAGAGTCCAGGGACACTGTGTGGCCCTCCAGCTGCCAAAGCCTCAACCTCCCAGGGCTTGTCCCTGGCAAAGGTACCATCCTTGCTCTGTCCTATATTCTACACCCTCAGGACCCCGTTCTTTCTACCTGCCAGGGTGACAACTCACAAATATGACAACAAAATCTGTGGCAATCAATCAATCAATCAATCAATCAATCATGTTATAGTGGGGATTCCTTTGGTGCATTAGTTGGATTAAGTCACCACTGAGGTCCCTTTCAGCTCTCAAATTCTGTGATTTATTAAGCATCTACTTTAGCCAGGGCAGTTAGTTAGATAGTGAGCAGGGTCTGGAGTCAGGAAGACTTATCTTCCAGAGTTCAAATCCAGCCTCAGCCACTTACTAGCTGTGTGACCCTGGGCAAGTCACTTAATCCTGTTTGCTTCAGTTTCCTCATCTGTAAGATGAGCTGGAGAAGGAAATGGCAAACCAGTCCAGTATCTCTGCCAAGAAAACCCCAAATGGGGTCATGAAGAGTCAGACAAGACGGAAAAGAACTAAAACATCTTGTGCTAGGTACCCTCTGCCCAGGAAAGTGAATGACCAGGAAAGGACCCTTGAGAAAGAGGAAGCATAGCAGCAAAGGAGGATGTGAGGAGGGGCAAGTGGGGATCTGAGGACATTCCAGGGCAAAGCAGTCATTGAACTGGGAACTTGGCTCTTCATTCAGTCCCTGTCTCCAGGGTAGGGTCTGCCAGGTCTTAGCAGAATCTCTACCCACTTGCCCCACCAGGCTGCCAATGGACAATGATGGTGCTTGAGGTGGTGACCTTCATATTAACAACCTACCTTTCTAAAGTGCTTTCAGGTTTACAAATCACTTTCCTCCACCACATCCTCAAGGCAAGAGGCAGTGACCCCCTTCCTGAATGGCCTTCACTTCCAGCTCTCTTCTTTCTGTCCCCCAGGAACCCTGCTGGACCTGGCCATGTTACTTTTGAGCTGGCTGCTTCTACTTGGGTCTGCTTTTCATCAAGGTATGCCAAACGCCGAGGGGGACACTGCCCTATCTTCTGACCCTTTTGACACTTTTAGAGAAAGCCCAAACCTCCCCTTCCACCAATCCCCACCTGTTTGGGTCTTGGACTTTGCTAAGTACTTTCAAATCCAAGGTCTCATTTGGTCCTCATGGCATACACACATTCCTTGTCCTTGTGGAGGTTACATTCCAATGGAAAACTAAGGAGCATGGGCCTGGGGAGGGGGTTACCATGAGTTACACATTTATTTTCCCCCAAATCTCCCCATTGGGGAAAAAAAATCTCCTAATTTCTTGAATTAGAGAGCCTTATTTCTCAGACCGGTGTAAAGGAGGGAGGCAGGTGTCCCCTACACTTTCCCTCAAGACAGCCTGTGGGGTCATCCGCCTTGTTTGAATTCAAACTTGGAATGCAGATAGGGGAAGAAAGGATCAGACTAATTGATTCTTTACCATCAGGCCTGGGGTCCTTAGAGTTGATCCCTAAGGATATTCAGGAAGACTTTTCTCCCCCCTGCCCTTATCTTTTCCCTCTTCTGTCCCCTCAGGCCTGAATTCCTGGGAGGTGACCAGCCCTGAAAATGTTCAGGGTATCCATGGCTCCTGTCTGGTCATTCCCTGCACTTTTAGCTTCCCTAGAGATGTGAAAACAGATCAAGGCATCACTGCCATCTGGTACCGTGACTACTCAAAAGCTGACAAAAAGGTGGTGGTGAGCCATTCCCAAGACCCAGGCCAGGTGGAGAAGCGTTTCCAAGGCCGGACTAAGCTGCTGGGGGACCCTAGGCAGAAGACCTGTGATCTCCTCATACAGAAGCTCAGTCCTGATGACAATGGGGACTACACCTTTCGATTCCAGATCATTGGAGTGGACAGCTGGTCTGCCAAGAAGAGCACTGCCGTCAAGGTTACTGGTGAGACTGGGGTGGGTGGAGTCATCTTCTGTCCCTGCCTCCCTCCTTTCTTTACCTCCCCCTCCGATCCCCTTGTCTATTCCCCCTCATAGAACCACAAGAACTTTAGATTTAGAAGGGACTTCAGAGAGCATCTAATCTAACCCATTCCTGACCAAGAATTCATCTCTACCACCCCTAGCATCCCTGAGAAGTCATTCAGCCACTGTTTAAAGACCATTGCAAGATAGAGCTCTGGGCCTGGAGTCAGGAAGATATGAATTCAAATCCTACCTCAGACTCTCACTAGCTGTGCAACCCTGGTCAAGTCACTTAACCTCTGTTGGCCTAAATCCACTGGAGAAGGAAATGACAAACCACTCCAGTATCTTTGCAAGAAAACCCCATGGACAATATTGGTGTGCCATGGTCCACAGGGCCGTGAAGAGTTGGATGTGACTAAACAACGTGTCAAGACCTCATTGGTTATTATGACATTCCATTACACATCTGGATAACTCAAAGTTTTGGGAAGTCCTTGAGTTTACCGATCCCCAAACTCCACATGTTCCTTTGTATTCCTCCTTTCCTTGATCCTTCATCTCTAATTCTAAAGTCAAAATCTCAAAATTTCCAAGGTAGGAGGGATCTCAAAAGCCTATCCAGTCCAACTCCTATGGAGATGAGGATCATCTCTTAAACTTTTGTGACAAAGTGGTTACCCAGCCTTTTATTGATGAGCTCCAGTGAGGAGACATCCACATTTACTAGCTGCGTGACCATGGGCAAGTCACTTAACTTTTCTCAGCCTCAATTTTCTCATCTGTAAAATGGGGATAACAATAGCACCTACTGCCAGGATTGTTGTGAGGACCAAGTGAAATAACATATGTGAAACACTTTGAAATCCTTAAATCCCTTGTAAATTTTGGCTTCTTCCTCTCCTCCTCCTCCTCCTTTTTTCTTTTTCTTCTTTTTCTCCTCCTCCTCTTCCTTCTCCTCCGTCTCCTTCTTCAGTTTCTTCTCCTTCCTCTCCTCCTCCTCCTCTTCTCCTCCTTCCTCTTCCTCTCTTCCTCCTCTTTCTTCTTTCTTTTTCCTCTTCTATCTCTTCCTCTCCTCCTCCTCCTTCCTCTTCTTCTCTTTCTTCCTCTTCCTCTCCTCCTCCTCTTTTTTCTTTTTCTTCTACTTCTTCCTCTCCTCCTCCTTCTTTCTTTTTTCTTTTCCTCCTCCTCCTCTTCCTTCTCCTCCTTCTCCTTCATTTTCTTCCCCTTCTTCCTCTCCTCCTCCTCCTCTTCTCCTTCTTCCTCCTCTTTTTTCTTCTTCTTCTACTACCTCTTCCTCTCCTCCTCCTCCTCCTTTCTTTTTCTTCTCCTCCTCCTTCTTCTATTTCACTTTTAGGTGACTCTCATTGTTAGGTAGATTATCCTTATATCTAGGTGGAATCTGCCTTCCTGAAACATACACTCACTGCTCCCAGTTCTGTCCTTTGGGTTCCAGCACAGCCCATCCAGTCCCGCTTGCACACGATGACCATCATGTCTCCCATAAGTCTTCCCCAGTACAAATATCCCCAGTGGCTTCTACTATGACTCCATAGCTCCTAAGATGACATTATCTACAGTCTCTTCACTGTGCTCATCACCCTTCTCTGGACAGGCTCCAGCTTGTCAACATCCTTCGTAAAATAAAACAAGCCAGGTTCATTCTGAGATTCCATTCCCATGACTCATCTCCTGGGCCCACCCCATTCTTATTCTTATCTTCATTTTCATTTTCCAGGCTTCTCCTTCCTTCTGGTAGGCTAGAATTCAGTTCAGAAGTGGGAGAGAGATGTGTGAGGTTTCAAAAAAGGTCTGGAGCTATTCAGGAACCGGAGAAATGGGGAGCAGGCCTCTGTCCACTTTTCCTTCTGAGACACTGACCCTGTCTTTTCTACTTCCTGAGTGGGGATTATTTTTCAGGGTTGAGCTCATCCCTTCATGTTCCATTTCCACCCCAGATGAACCCAGCACCCCCACCATTGCCTCCCCTGCTCATCTTCAGGAAGACACAAAAGTCATCTTCAACTGTTCGACCCCCTATGTGTGTCCCGAGGATGGAACCCCCCTCTCCTGGCACGGTCAGGATCCTGTCCACTCCAACACTAGCCAGCTCCAGGTACTGGCGCCCACTGGTGTCACCTACCAACAAAGCCTCAGCGTTGCCTTATCCTGGCGTGACCACGGCCGGATGCTGACCTGCCAGTTCTCTGCTGCCGGGAAGCAGAGTCAGAAGCAGATCCACCTTCAGGTGCAGTGTGAGTGACACCTGATGCCCTCTTTCAGGCCCTGGGGGCTCAGCTTTGGGGTCCCTTAGGCCTTATGTGTTCCTTTATTCCTCTGCCTCTCTAGGTAAATATCTCTGGGATTGCCATCCCTTTACTGGAAAAAAGATTCTATCACCTCTCAGATTATTGTAAACTGGAGACCCAAGCACAGCTAGGCCTTTCCAGGTTGATGGTTTACATCTTTCCTCAGGTGGGGCAGTGGTGGAAGATAAAGAACCGATCTTGCCTTGCTTAAAAAACAGCAAAAAAACCTCCAAAAAGCTTTTCCTATTGCTGCTGAATTTGAATTAAAAAAAACATTGGCTAACTAAAAAATTAAATTAACTAAATCTAGTGAACTATTTATTAACTAACAAAAAAGGTTAGTTCTATAGGTAAAGGTAAAGTAAGCCAAGTGGAGATGCGTAATTTAAAATCAGTCATAAAGACAAATGAGCCATTTAAAAATTTTTTTTTGAGATAGATGAGGGAGAAGACCAGGTCTCTACCCTCAGGGAGGCCACAGTCTACTTGTGGAACTCTAGGTTTTTTGTAAGGTACAGGACTAGCCTTCCCAACACTGTTATTGCCTTCTAGGCATTTTGTCTGTAATTCAGGAGCTGCCTGTTGGGGGAGGTGGGATGGGGGGAGGGGTGGATTGTGGTACCTGGGCCACTGTCTTGTGCTTGAATAGTTTAGATGAAGAAAATGGCTTAAAAGGGAATTGTGCACAATTTTGTACTCAGTTACCCTTTTACTAGGAGATTGGAAAGGCAGCTTAAAAAAACCAGCCTAGCATGACATTTATTTGAATTACTTATTATTACATTCAGATCAGTGCCATACAATTGGAGGCAAGATTTAAAGAATCATTCAACACCTAGGTACGATTTGGTACCTTTCTCACTGACCCTTAAGTGTTGCCAATCATTGCCTCATCTAAGAGTGCTTTCTCTCACACTTCCTTGGGACCCACCCTAACCTTTTGCTGACATACTGAGCTATCCACAGTTTCTGAGGGACTACCTCAGTGTCACTGGGAGGCTGTTCTAGACCTCCCATTCCCCTGCTTATTATTTATCTGACTCCTTGTTTGCAGCTTTTTTGAGGGTCACTCTGCTCTTCCAGGAGCTCTGCTCTGCCCTTGCCATCACTTTTTCTCAAGGTGCAACAGAAATAGAAAAATTATACAGCAACAAAACAAAACAATATAACTGCCCCAAAACCCACCCTCCTAAAAATCCCATGAAGTGTCTTTTCCAATCAGAGAAGGGTTTTCCAATTCAAACACTATTTTATTTTATTTTTTAATTTTATTAATTCATTTTGATTTATCAACAATCACTTCCATATACTTTTGAGTTTAAAATTTCTCTCCCCCTTCCTCCCTACCACCCTCCCCAAGACGGCGCACAATCTCATAAAGGCTATACAGTTATGTTACTATTAAACGTATTTTCACATTAGTGAAGTTATAAGTAAAAATTAAAACCAATAGGAGGAACCATTAGAAAGAGGAAACAAAACTCAACAGAAGAGAAAAAAAATGAAAGCGATTCAACTTCCATAGTTCTTTCTTTGGATGTGGATAGCATTTTGCATTACGAGGCCTCTGGGGATGTCTTAGATCCTTGTATTTCTGAGAAGGGTTAAGTTTATCAATCTTAGTCATTGCACAACGTGGCTGTTATTATGTACAAAGTTCTCTTGGTTCTGTCACTTCACTCAGCATCAGACCATACAAGTCTTTCCAGGTTTTTCTGAAGTCAGCCTGTTCATCATTTCTTATAGCACAATAGTATTCCATTATATTCATATATCACAGCTTGCTCAGCCATTCCCCAATTGGTGGGCATCCTCTCAATGTCCAATTCTTTGCCACCACAAAAAGAGCTGCTATGAATATTTTTGTACTTGAGGGTCCTTTTTCCATTTATATGATCTCTTTGGGATACAGCCCTAGAAGTGCTATTGCTGGGTCAAAGGGTATGCACATTTTTACAGCCCTTTGGGCATAGTTCCAAATTGGTCTCCAAAACTGTTGGATCATTTCACAACTCCACCAACAATGCATTAGTGTTCCAATTTTCCTACATCTTCTCCAGCATTTATCATTTTCCTGTTTTGTCATGTTGGCCAATCTGATAGGTGTGATGTGGTTCCTCAGAGGTGTTTTGATTTGCATTTCTCTAATCAATAATGATTTAGAGCATTTTTTCCAATATGACCATAGATCAAACACTATTTAAAAAAATATTTTTAATTGATATTTGCTGTTTCTTCCATAACCATAGTTATCTTCTTCCCCCTTCCAGAGAGTCATCCCATATGATAAATAATGTTTTTTAGAGAGAGGGAAAAAAAAGTTGGTACAATGGTTCAATCATTGAGAGAGTCTGAAAATGTGTAATGTGTGACACTGTGGACAGTGACACTACTACAATGATTTTTGCTCTCCCTTCTCCCCTCCGTGATATCAGCCTTATACTATTAAAGAACACCATTAAACAGGCTCTTAGCACATCCAATTACTTTACTCTGGATGCAGAGTGCTGTTTTAAAGGGCCTTTTATGGCACAATGAATAGAGTACTGGGCTTGGAATCAGGAAGACTCCTCTTCATGAGTTCAAATCCAACCTCAGACACTTACCAGCTGTGTGATCCTGGGCAAGTCACTTAACCCTGCTTGCCTCATTTTCTCATCTGTCAAATGAGCTAGAAAAGGAGAGGTAAACCACTCCAGTAACTTTCCCAAGAAAACCTCCAAAATTGGGTCATGAAGAGATGGACACAACTGAACAACAAAATTAGCTCTTTTCACAAATTTGAGTTGAAATCCTACATAGTATTTCTAAACAGATATTGAGTGACTTGCATGCCAGAAGATGACCGATTCATCCATGAAACAGAGAACAAAATGAGATTGCTTAGAATTAAGTACTCTTAAGTGGAAACAGGAGTCCAGAAGAGGGAGAGCTCTGCTCGGGCGGGGATCATCTGGGAAAGCTTCTTGGAGGAGTGGATTGGCAGCCAGACCTATTCAAGAGCAGCCTATGTAACAGGGAATAAGATGAGTAGAGGAGAGGGGGGAAGGCGCTTCAGTGGTGCTGCAGGTCAGGATATTGGTACAGCTTGGAGGAGGGCTTGGAGAACCAATGACCTCTTCCTCCCCCCAAATTCCCACACCTGTTGCAGGCAAGGACGCTGTGGTGCAGACCTGGGGCAGCATGGATTAACTCTGCCCTCAGGTGGTTCACTCTGGGAGCCCACTATGGACCGATTGAGAAAGAGGGGTACAGAAGTCGTTTTTAAGACTCAGTAAGCCAGAAGCTTAATGGTTAGAAGGGAGAACTGAGGGGACCCAGAGCAAAGGCACAATCAGTCTGAGTTAACTGGGGAGAGCTTTCTGGAAGAAGGGAATTTGTATAAAGAAGAGGGACATGGGTTACGAGGAGGAGGAGTGACACTCTCAGCTCCACCAATCTCACCATCTGTCCTCGCCATTTGATGGACTCTGCTCCTTAGTCCTTCTCTTCTTTCTTTCTAGATGCCCCCAGAGGAGTGGAGGTCTCCCTAAGGCCCTCCCAGCAGAACATCCACCTGGGAGATTCCTTTGCCCTCACCTGTCACATCAATGGCAGCCATCCTGAGCCCACTGCCTTCAGGTGGTTTAAAAATGGCGACCTCTACAATGCCAATCAAAAAGTGCTCCAGGTGAGCAAGGCCACATGGGAGGACCACGGGCACTACTCCTGCGAGGCTCAGAATGTGGTGGGCACTGGAGCAGCTGCCCCCATCACTGTCCCCATCTTTGGTGAGTTCCTCTAACCAGTGTTTTTGATATTATGAACCATGGTCCTCTTGGATTCTGGAACATTCATCTCTGCTAGGACCTGCTGTGGGTGAGCCACGTTGGGCTGACCTGGGAAATGGGTTGAGTCTGTCCCCTCTACTGGGTGGGATCTCAGTCCCTTTCTGTCACCTCAGCCTTGCCAATGAGCTAAGAACTGGTCCTTGGTTCAGGAGGTAGGGAGAATTGCAGCAGGATGAGAGACTTGAGGGTAAGCTGGTGCTGGTACCTGGTGAGGTAGGAGAGGCGCATGGGTGAGGTTTCGATCAACGGGCCCAGACTATGTAGTGGGGTTAGGGTTAGATTTTAATTAATTTAACGAGCATTGACCCTTTGCCTACTGAGTGCAGAGTGCTGTCTGGGTCACTGGGGGACATGTACTGGACTTAGGACTGACAGAGAAGAGCAGATTTGAACTCAGGTTAGACCAGGGTTCAAATCCTGTTCTTGCCACTTAACTAGGAAGACCCCTTGAAGGCAGGGGCTGTTTCTTTGGCCTCTTGGTATTCCCAGCACTTGGCAGGGTGACTGGCATAGAATCAGAGCTTAATAAGTAGTTCTTGGGCCCCTACTGGGCTGGGAGTCTGGAAGACTCATCTTCATGAGTTCAAATCTGGCCTCAGACACTCACTAGCTGTGTGACCCTGGGCAAGTCCCTTAACCCATTTGCCTTGGTTTCCTTGTCTGTAAAATGCGATGGAGGAGGAAATGACAAACCACGCTAGTATTCGGTATCCAGTATATCCAATATCTAAGAAAACCCCAAATGAGAGTTGGAAATGACTGAAAAATGACTGAACAACAAAGTCATTATTGAATTATGTCGAAATGAAAGCACTTTGAGAATGTGCCCTGGCATGCGCTTGATTGAATTATAAGATTGGATCAATTCCCACCAAACCCTAAAAAATTGGGGCAATTGAATATCCTTGGAGCTCAGGCCACATAGTTCAGCCCTGGCAGAGCATAGAACTGGGTCTGGGGAAGCAGCGGAGAGTGCTGAGGTCCTGTTGCTTGGACTCAGTCTGTCACAGATCCTCAGTCCCTGCCCTCACAGAACCCCTGGGCTTATGGGACAGACACAGGCTCTGCCCCTGGGGAGCTCTCAGCCTCAGAGATCCTGCCTGGCCCCTTCCCTCCCTCATCCTGTCCCCTCCTGTCCCCTTAGATCCGCTGATCCGAGTGCACCCACCTGGGAACATCCAGGAAGGGCAGGCAGTGACTCTCACCTGCACCCTGCCTGCGGGGGAGCAGCAGAACGTCTCCTACAGCTGGTTCAAGAACAACGTATGGATCGAGGACTTGGCAGCCCAGACCCTGGTGTATGCTCAGGTCAGCAGTGCCGACACTGGCTTCTACTTCTGCCAGGTGCAGAACTCCAAGGGCGTCAAGGCCTCCCCACCGGTTAACCTCGTGGTCACCTGTGAGTCGCCCTCATCCCGGGCAGGGGTTGGGGCCTGAAAGGGTGGGGCGGGCCCTTTGGCAGCTAAGGGATGCGCTGTGACATTCTCCATCTTCCTGGTGGCAGCCCTGTGTTGTGGAGACAGCCCTGGGCTTGGTGTCAGGAAAACCAGGTCCCTCCCTGTCTCTTCCAGAGTGCCTGTGTGACCTCGGGAAAGTCACTTTTCTCTGGGGATCAGTTTCCTCATCTGTAAAATGAGAGGAGTTTGCTGTTTGTAAGCTTTTTTGGCCTCCAGATCCATGATCACAGATCAATAGCTTCACTCAGCCTCATTCCTGGGCCTTCTGCACTTTCCAAACTGTTTCTCTCCCTAGCACCACCCTCACCTTCCCCATCCTACCCCATCATAGCATGGTTCCTAGGGTGACTTCCAATGGTGATATTCTGTGATTCTGTGACTCAGCAGTGGTACAGCCTTGAGAAAAACACTTATCTTCTCAGCCTCAGTTTCCATCAGTGAAAGGGGATAAAAATGCTTCAATTTCCTGCCTCACAGAATTTCTGTGGAAAAACAGAGTTATATGAATAAGTATGTAGATATAGAGGGTGTCCCAAAAGTCTTGGTGCAGCTTTAAGCTATTTAATTATCCACATTGTGTGTGTGTGTGTGTGTGTGTGTGTGTGTGTGTGTATCTTCTCTCTAATATGATGTTCTCTTTAAATGGCCATCATAATCCTTCATAAATATAAGGGCATCTTGGGGACCCTATAGGAGGCAGCAGCCACGGGTCTTCCAAGCCCAAGACAGGTGAGGGGTAGGGAAGCCAGTAACTGTCCTAGGAGAAGTCCTGTAAAGCTTCCTGGAGGAGGTGTGATGGGATGTTAGCCACCATCCTTCCCCTAATGCTGAGCCTTCCTCTGGGCCCCTGGACCAGGCCAGATGTTCTCACTGAGCTCTTGTCTCTAACCTGTGCAGATTCACCGAGGGTCCCCGTACTCACCTCCTTCCTGGAAACACAGAGGGGCCAGAAAGCCATCATCCACTGCTCTGTGGACAGTGAACCCCAGGCCAAGCTGACCCTTTGGCATGGTGGCCAGCTGCTGGCCTCCTCCAGTTCCCAGGATGCACCCAGTCAACGCTTCAGTGTCTCTAGTGGCTACAACTCCCTGCGTCTGATTATTCGAGGACTGGACACTGATGATGGTGGGGACTACCAGTGTGAGGCCACGAATGCCCTCGGAAAGGCCACCTCCAGCCATGACCTCAGCACTAACAGTAAGGCTGGCACTGAGGCTGGGGGGTGGTGGGGTAGCCATGGGGAGGGCCTCAGAAATGTTGCTGGGGATATTCACTCTGGACTGTCTTCTGAGAATCTCAAAGGCCTTCCTAGAGGTAGCTCTTCTTGTATATACTGAGTAAACTCTAGAACTTGGATTAATCATTAAGACCTGGCCTCTATTTGGAACTAAAAAAAGGTGCCCTGAACAGAAAGGAAAGTTCATTTAAATTTAAAAAAAAAAGATGGGGAGAGGAGAAATCTCAGAAGGCTTCTTGGGGTAGGCAGTACAGAGTTAAGGTCAAGGTGGCCTGAAGTGGGTAGAGTCTCAGAGGCAGGAAGTTGGGATTTTCATGAGCTGATTGACATGGTCCCTGACCCTTTCCCCTTCATTCTCCATAGCAGCCTGGGTAGGAATTGATCCCACGGCCGAGGTGGTAGAGGGCGAGGAAGTGACACTGAGCTGTGTGGCTGCCCAGGGTGACCAGCCCTATGCCCTCTACACCTGGTACCGGAATGGAGAGTGGCTGAAGGACGGACCCCTTAGCTTCCTCACCTTTCCCAAGGTGCTCAGCGCCAACGCAGGTTCCTACCACTGCCGGGCCCAGGACAGCCTGGGCAGCAGCCGGACCTCGCCTCCTGCTGCCCTTACGGTTCTCTGTGAGTGTGCCCCAAGACTCTGGGGATGGGGAATCCTCTTAGCCTCCCTGCCTCCACCCATCCAATGTCACCTACTGAGCACCCACTAGGTGCCTGGGCTTATGTCAGACACTGGTGGGGGTCTGGAGAGTGGGGGAGGGGGCAAGGGAAGACTCTGGTGCTGTCTTCCGGGAGCTCACAGACTAGTTTAATTCACTTAAATTCAGCAAGCATTGATTCTATGTCTGTTATGTGTCAGGAGCATTGTATGCCGGTTTTGAGGAAAGAAAAGCAAAAACTGGCCTCTACCCCCAAGGAGCTCATGATGGAATGAGGGGCATAACATGCAAATAACCGCATACAGACAAGATGCAGAGATGAGATGAATGAGGGCAATCTCGGAGGGAGGGACTTAGCATTAGGGGGGTTGGGAAAAGCTGCTTGCAGAAGGTGGGAGTTGAATTGAGTCTAGAAGGAGTCCAGGGAAGTCAGGAGGCAGAGGTGAGGCAGGTCGGCATTCCAGGTGTGAGGGACAGCCACGGAAAAAGTGAGGAGTTGGGACATGTCATGGGTAGCAAGGTAGCCAGATAACAAAGCACATGTGTGTGCGTGTGTGCGTGTGTGGCACATATCAACTGAGTCTGACAGGAAAACAGCCACCACCTCACATCTCCATTGCCTTTTCTCTGCTCACAGACCCCCCACGCCAACCCACGCTCACCGCCTTGGTAGACATGGAGGCTGGTAGGCTGGGCCTCCTCTTGTGCAGAGTGGAAAGTGACCCACCGGCTGATCTGAGGCTGCTCCGAGGAGACCAGCTTGTGGCCACCTCTCAGGGTGGGTGTGGAGGTGGGCAGCGCCATCCCCGGGCTCAGGCAACCTCCAGTCCCAATTCCCTTCGTGTGGAGATCCGTGATGTGGTGCTGGAGGATGAAGGGGAGTACACGTGTGAGGCCACCAATACCCTTGGCAATTCCACGGCCTCCGTGGCCTTTGAAGCCCAGAGTGAGTGTTTGGGAAGATGGTCTCAGGGAGTTGGAGAGATGGATGTTTGGGTGGATTGATGAAGAGATGGAATGGGGGACCAAGGACAGCGAGTTAGGAATAGTCTAGGGGGAAGGAGGAGGGGGCTTAGTGGGGAGGACGGGTGCTAGTGTGGCCATAGCCATGGGGTCAGTACTTGGGAGAATGAGTCCTGGTGAATCCAAGGGACATCTGAATGAGGCTGAGCAACGTTACAGCCTTGGACTGAACTATCTGTGGACCTAGCAAAAAAAAAGTGGTCCTAGGTAAAGAGGAACGTGTCTAGAATGCGTTTTAGTATGCTCGGGGTGTTCCTTCATTTCCTCATTTGTAAAATGGGCTGTTGAATTAGATTGCTATGGTCAAATTGCAAAGGACCTTCCAGTCCTAACATTGCATGGCGCAAATGTCCAGGCTTGATACTGACGAGCTATGGCGTCTTATCAGCACTCATGTGTGAGCTGGGTGATGGGCTTCCTGCGTGGAGGAAGAGGGATCGACAAAACCCGTGCTATCTCTGAGCTCTCTTGGGCACAGTCATGGAGGCCAGGGGAGAGAGGACATGGTTGTGAGTCTGATCTTTTGTGGCTGGGAGGACCGGACATAATTAGGTGTGGAGGCAGGAGGATGATCCCCATGACCTTCACTTCAGGCATCCTTGACTCCATGACTTTGATCTCCTCCCTAGCTACCCGTCTGCTCATCTTTCCATCGGCCACTGTGACAGAAGGTGACAAGGCCAATCTGACCTGTGTTGTGAGCCGGGAGTCAAACAGCAGTCCTACGAACCTCACTTGGTACCGGGATGGGGCCGAGTGGGCCCAGAGGTCACAAGAAGCTGTGATTCTTCAACCTGTGGTTAGGACAGATGCTGCCCTTTACTCCTGCCACGTCAGCACCGAAATAGGGGAGAGGCGCTCCCCTGCAGTGGCCCTGCATGTGCTGTGTGAGTGAAGAGCACAGGAGCAAATTAGGCATGGGTTAGAATCTGGATGGAGAAGGTAGACTGGGGTGGGGAGGGTGAAGAGGGATAGAGTGACTGGGAGGATGAGGCTTGGTCTGAGGCTAGCTCTGGCAGTGGATGGGCCAGGCTCAGGCTATCTGAGTGTGGTTTAGGGCACAGTCAAGACATGAAGCGTTGGCCAGCTGTGGTGTTTGGGGTGAGCTGTGTCAGGGAAGGGGTTTAGGCCAGGGGAGTATCCCTGGGATTAATTGCCTATGTTAATCGTGATTTTAATTTTATCGTTGTAGTGCAGATGTTCTTTTTCCCATTTAAGAGATGAGGAAACAGGCTTAGAAAGGTTGAGGACTTGGCCAGTGGTCACATAGTGTGCAATAGTGCCAAGAAAAGCACTAGCTTTGGAGTAAGACCTGACTTTGAGTCTCCCCTTCGTCTACTGACTAGCCATGTGACCCTGGGCAAGTCTCTTAGCCCTGTTTGGCTCAGCTTCCTCATCTGTCAAATGAGTTGGAGAAGGAAGTGGTAAACCGCTCCAGCATTTTTGCCAAGAAAACCCCAAATGAGGTCATGAAGAGTCGGACGTGACTGAACGATGACTTTTTTGGATATGTTTCCTTCCTCTCTAGAAGGAGGGTGTTGGATGAGATGACCTCTGATGGTCTGTAATTCTGGCCTAGGATGTGGGGGATAGTAGGGAAGTCTTTCAGGATGTAGAGGGTTTGGCTGGGATTAGGGTGGGCCAGTCTGGAACATGGCGCTGGGCTTGGGGAGTTGCTAGAATGTGGGTTGGAGCTTAGCTTGGGCTGTGTTGTAGTTATTCTTAGGCTATGATGAGGGTATGGGGTTGGGGAGGTGGCCTAATCCTATCTCTCTTCCCCCCCTCCAGACCCTCCAGATTCCCCCCAGCTCTCTGCCTTCCTGGACACCACCGGGGGCCGAGTGGCCGTGTTCCGCTGCACCGTTGACAGCAGTCCCTCTGCATCAATGACCCTGTTCCATGGTGAGGAGCTGGTGGCTTCCAGCCTTGGCTCCAGGGCTTCGGAGGGCAGGCAGCTCTGGGTACAAGCCAGCCCTAACTCCCTGAGGGTGGAAATCAAGGACCTGAGACTAGAAGACACTGGGAACTATAGATGCCAGGCCACTAATGCTCATGGCTCAGCCTCCACCACGATTTTTTTTCAAGTTCATGGTGAGTGTGTCTCTCCTCTCTCCCTTGGTCCTTTCTTCTAGGCAACTGAGAGGTGAACTTGGAGTTAGGAAAGATTTTCCTCTAGCACACACTAACTGCATGGCCAGGAGGAAAATCACTTTACATGTCTGCGCCTCAGTTTCTGTAACTAAAATGGGCTAGCAATACTTGTACTTTACCGAGTTTTTGGGTAATTAAATAAATTGGGTAATTAAATAAAATAATGTATGTAAATTACCCAGTGCTTAGCATAGTGCCTGGCACACAGTAGGCACTTAATAAATATTCATTGGTTGATTGATTTTTTTTATTGGATCTGTGAGGGAGAGCAGTCAGAGAAGTACATGGAAAGGGTGGCTTGGGGCGCAGTGTTATTAGACAGGAGGGCTAATATGTGAGAGAGACACGGCCAGGATGAAGGGGAGTTTGCTCAGTAAGTAGTTCACCTATGGGAGATGTTTACTACAAGGAGACAGGAGAGCTTCTAACGCACATTTGACAAGCATCTGAATGACTAATAAAAGTGCTCAAAACAGCAGGACTAAAGATGATCCCTGGAGCACCGCATCATAGACCTTTCCAGGTATCCCTGGAGCACTCTGTTGTAGGCCTTTCACGTTAGCCCTGAACCTCTAATCATTTCCAGCCATTCACTGAATTCACATTAGGACTCTCCTTTTTGTTTTGTACGTCATTTGGCTGGTAGATGGAGAAATTCTGAGGATTTACCAAAGGCTTTTACCCAGGCTTTTCCAAAGCAGTTAGCAAGGTCTCTCATACTACTCTGGTAAACATGACGAAGAAAGGTGGGCTCATGAACAATGATCCATCTAGGGGAATTCCTTTTTTTTTTTAAATATGAGGGAATTGGGGTTAAGTGACGTGCCCAGAGTCACACAGCTAGCAAGTGTTCTGTGTCTGAGCTAGGGGAATTCTGAAGCTCAAGACCAGAACCAAGCCTACTTATTTCTCCAATTTTTAGCCCAGAGCTGGGCACATAAGCAGGTTTTCAACTTGTCCTACAAGCAATAGCGCATTAGGCTAGAAGCCAAGGTAATATCTGTCAAAGTGAGACTGTGAGTATATATGGAAATAACGACTTAAAAGGCAAGTCACTAGGCAGCACTAGTATACGTAATATAAATCTCCAATTTATAGAGAAGGAAACTGAGTCAGGGGTCATAAAGCTAGTAAGTATCTGAGTCAGTATTTGCTATTAGGTCTTTGACCCCAGCTCCTGTTCATCACCAAGCTGCCCCTTTTTACAACCTGTGTGACCTTGGGAAAGTCATTTCACTTCTTGGTATCTTTGATTCCTCTAGTGTAAAATGAGAATGTTGGACTCAAAGATCTCAGAGGTGTTCTCCCACTCTAAATCTGAGATGTTATGATTTGTGAAGAAATATGCTCTCCCCTGCAATGATAACAATCGCCACCAGGTGGCGGCAGACCACCATGTCCCAGCCCATTCAAGGCCACAGCAAACAAAAAACCCAATTTTTCTGGCATATAACTTGACTAAAATAAATCTGATTTTGAAGTAAGCATTATGACTAGAGATAAAATGATGAAGAAAATATTTTTAAAACTATGGGTCAAAAGGAGGCCTTCCATTCTTCTTTCTAATTTAGTTATCATGGAATCCCAGAGTAGGAAGGGTCAACAGAAATTGTGTGACCTGACCTCATCCCCCATGCCACAGGCCTCTTCCAGAAGCTGTTTAGCTTCTGACCGAACAGCTTTGTGACTCTGGGCTGATTTCTTAATTTCTCTGGGCTTCAGTCTCATTATTTAAAATGAAGGAGGAGGCTTATTCATTCAGCATTCATTAAGCAAAATAATCCTTTGTGCCATAATAATTCTCTCTCTCTCTCTCTCTCTCTCCTCTCTCTCTCTCTCTCTCCTTTTCTCCTTTCCTCTCCTCTTTTCTGTCTTTCTTATCTATCCCTCTCTTTCCCTTCCCTTCTCTTCTCTTCTCCTCTCCTCTCCTCTTCTCTCCAGATAAATCAATTAAAATATTTATGTAAAATAAATGCAAAGTAATTTTTGTGGTTGGGGGAGTGAGATGAGGGAACCTCTCAGGTAGGAAGTGGACCTAAACCTGAGCTTTGAAGGAAGCTGGGGATTCTGGGAGACAGAGGGAAGAAGGGGCTTTATTCCAAGCATGAGGGATGGTCTGGACAAAGACACACAAGAAGGACATGAGGTATCACGTATAAAGAATGGCAAGGATATCAGTGTAGCTGGAATGTAGCATTTAGGACTTTTAAAGTTCTTCCCAGTTCAAAATCTGTGAACCTGTAAGTTTTCCAGGAATGGGGAGCTCACTTCCTCCTGAGCCTATTTCATCTCTCTCTGTCTCTCTGTCTCTCTGTCTCTTTCTCTGTGTGTGTGTGTGTATGTGTGTGTGTGTGCGTGTGTGTGCATGCCTATTGTTTGAGATGACCTTCCTTATATTCTGCTATAATCTAACTCTCTGGAGCTGCCTCTCACAAAGAGTTCAAGGAACCACCAGGGAACTCCTTACGGGGTCCCAGCACAGCCAGGACTTACAGCAACTGCAAAGGGGATTGAGAAAAGCCACTCTGGGGACCATCCCCTCCCATCTCCTCATAAGGAAACAGGTCCAGAGAAGGGAAGCTACTTGTGTAATGTCTGACTGGGACTTCAGCCTGTCTTCTGATTCCCAGGATCGTGCTTTCCCTCTATCGCTCTTGGTTTCTTCTCATTGCAGATCCCTCGAACTCCTGTCAAGTCCTCACCTACTTCTGACTAAATCCCATCCTTTTCTAGGGACGTGTGATCTTCTGCAAATTCCCTGCCCTGCTCTCTGGCCTGGCTTTTCCTCTTTGTGAAATGGAGTGGTATTTCCCCATCCAGCTTGCTGGGTGTAGGGGGCAGGTAACATCTCATCAAGTGAGGACTGTGAGGCGCTGACCCTCTGTTCCTCCTCTTCCCCTTTCCAGCTGCTTGGGTTCAGGTTTCACCGTCTCTGGAGGTTCACGAAGGGGAGGCAGTGTCCTTGAGCTGCAAGGTGACAGGGGGGGCCCCTGATGGGACCGCCTACGAGTGGTACCGAGACAGTCGGCACCTCTCCGAGCCCACTGTGTCCACGCTCCACTTTCCCTCCATCACTGCTGAGCAGGGTGGCACCTACCACTGCCAGGCCCGGACCCCAGCGGGTGCTGCCAGTCTTGCCTCCCCTGTCAGCCTTCATGTATCCTGTAAGTACTGCCTCTGTGGTTGGGGAAGTGGAGGCAAAGAGTTGGCAGTGAAGGGCATCTGGGAAAGGGGAAGGACTGGGGGAGAGGAGAGAAAAGAGGAAGAGGAGAAGTGGGGAAGGGGAAAGAGGAGGGGATGCCAGGTGCTCTTTTAGAGAATTCAGGGCAATCTGGTGGAGGGGATGGGATCCCTGGGGGAGGGGGGAGTGGGCAATGCTTCTAGGTCACAGGAAAGGGGTCCTGAACAATTTATTCCTGGAATTCCAGAGCTCAAACCTGCAGTGATATCAGATATCAGTCTGTCCCCCAACCCCAGGGCTCCCATAAACTCTTCTTGTGCTCAGGGGTAGTTGGGGTACTTCTCCCATCCTAAGGAGGGATAGAGAGTCTTGTCTCCCTGAGGTGCCCAGAGACGAGGTACGTGAGGCAGCTGGCCAGGCTGGGGATGTCCCTTCTGCTCCTTAGCTGGCTGTGCCCATCCTCAGGAAGCCAGAACCTGGGTCTGAGAGACCAAGAGCTTAGGAGAAGAGTCCACGGAGTGGGTTCCTCTTGGCCCATGTTGTACATCTCTCTTCCCCGCTCCTCTGCTCTCCCCACACAGACCCCCCACGACAGCCTACCCTCACTGCCTTGTTAGAATTGGAGGCTGGGAGGTTGGGCCTCATCCTGTGCCAAGTGGACAGTGATCCCCAGGCCCAGCTGAGGCTGCTGAGGGGCAGCCAGCTCCTGGCCTCCTCCCAGAGCAGGGTTGGAGTTGACTCTCCCCGAGTTACTCGAGCCTTCAATGTCCTCCGTGTGGAGATCCCGAATGTGGTGCTGGAGGATGAAGGAGAGTACACCTGCGAAGCCAGCAACGTCCTTGGGAATGCCACAGCTTCTGTGGCCTTCAGTGCCGAAAGTGAGTGAGCATGTGTGCGTGTGTGTGGGGGGGAGGAGGGTCATAGGATGATTTTTTAAAAATCTGTATTTGTGGTTTCATTGGTGTACAGAACTCTGAGTTAGAAAACTGCTCCTACTGATGTAGACACATGGTCTGCAGTCTAGTCTTGGAGAAGTGCTCGGGACCTGAGAGTTTGAAGCACTTGCCCACAAATAAAGACAAAACTAAACAATCAGAGAAATAGTAATTACTAATGGGTAGGCGGAGCCAATATAATAAAAATGACAATTCTACCTAAACTAATTTACTTACTCAGTGTCATAGCGATCAAACTACCAAATAATTGTTTTATAGAGCTAGAAAAAATAGCAACATTCATCTGGAGGCGCAAAGGAGAATCAGTGAAAAATGTGTAGGAAGGCAGTCAAACAGTTCTTCAATAGTTCCAGATATGTCTGACTCTTCATGACCCCATTTGGGATTTTCTTGGCAAAGATACTGGAGTGTTTGCCATTTCCTTCTCCAGCTGATTTTACAGATGAGGAAACTGAGGCAAACATGGTTGAGTGACTTGCCCAGGGTCACACAGCTAGTCAGGGTCTGAGGCCAGATTTGGACTCTGGAAGATGAGTCTTTCTGACTCCAGGCGCACTGCTCTATCCACTGTGCCACCTCGTTGCACCAGATTTCAAATATAACAAAACAGTAATTGTCAAAACAATCTGGTATTGGCTAAGAAATAGAGTGGTGGATCAGTGGAAGAGATTAAGTACACAATACCGTGGTAACCATAGTGACCATAGTCATCTAGTGTTTGATAAACCCAAAGATCCAAGCTTTTGGGAGAAAAATTCACTATTTGACAAAAATTGCTGGGAAAACTGGAAAGTTTGGCAGAAACTAGACACAGACCAACATCTCACATTGTATACCAAGATAAGGTCAAAATTCATAAATGATTTAGATAGAAAAGGTGATATCATAAGCAAATTAGAGGAGTATGGAAAAACATACCTGTCAGATCCATGGAAATGGAAGTTTATGAACAAACAAGAGATAGAAAGGATTACAGGAAGTAAAATGGTTAATTTTGATTAGATGAAAATAAAAAGGTTTTACATAAACAAAACAAATATAGCCAAAATTAGAAGGAAAGCAGGACATTAGGACAAAAAATTTTAGCAAGTTTTTCTGAGAAAAGCTTCATTTATCAGGTATATAGGGAACTGAGCCAAATTTATCAAAATAAGAGCCATTGCCAAATTGATAAATGGTCAAAAGATATGAACAGGCAGTTTTCAAAGAAATTAAAGCCATCTATAGTCATATGAAAAAACGCTCTAAACCACTATTGATTAGAGAAGTGCAAATTAAAACAACTCTGAGGTGCCACCTCATCCCCGTCAGATTGGCTAATATAACAGAAAAGGAAAATGATAAATGTTGGAGAAGATGTGAGAAAATTGGGACACTAATGCACTGTTGGTAGAGTTGTGAACTGATCCAATCATTCTGGAGGAGAATTTGAAACTATTCCCAAAGAGCTATAAAACTATGCATACCCTTTGACCCAACAATACTGCTACTAAATCTGTTTCCCAAAAAGATCAAAGAAAAAGGAAAAGGACCCGTATGTACAAAAATATTTGTAGCAGCTCTTTTCGTGGTGGCAAAGAATTGGAAATTGCAGGGATGCCCATCAACTGGGGAATGGCTGAACAAGTTGTGGTATATGAATGTGATGGAATACTATTGTGTTAGAAGAAATAACAAGTGGGGTTGTTTCAGAAAAACTTGGGAAGATTTAGATGAAATGATATGAAGTGAAGTGAGCAGAACCAGGAAAAGACTGTACATAGTAACAGCAATATTGTATGGTGATCAACTGTGAAAGACTTAGCAGCTCTGATCTATGCAATGATCTACAGCAGTTCTGAAAGACCCATGATGAAAAATGCTGTTTACCTCCAGAGAGGGAACTGGTAAACTCTTGAGCGTAGATTAAAGCAGGCTTTTTCACTTAATTTGTTTATCTTGCAATATAGCTAATATCCAAATATATTTTGCATGACTTCACATGTATAATTGATATATCATATTGCCTTCTCAATGGGAGGGAGAGAATTTAGAACTCACAATTAAAAAAAATGTTAAAAAGAGCTCATTTGTCCAGGAACACAAAGCCAGTTACATCAGAAGTGAGGCTTGAATCCAGATCTTTTTTTTTTTTTGGATGACGCATTTGGGGTTAAGTGACTTGCCCAGGGTCATGCAGCCAGTAAGTGTCAAGTGTCTGAAGCCAAATGTGAACTCGTGTCCTCTTGTCTCCAAGGCCGGAGCTCTATCCACTGTCACCTAGCTACCCTGAATCTAGATCTTCTTGACTTTAAGGTTAGCTCTCTATTCCACTGCGTCTTTATTCCAGAGGAATAGCTGTTTATCATAAATAGCACATTTCAGCTCCCAGAGAGAGAAGGATGCCTGTCTTTCATTGTCTCTAGTCTCACCCTGGTTCACCTTCCCTCCCCAACAGCCGTGGTAGTGCAGGTGCTGCCCTTGCCGACCGTTCAGGAGGGCCAGGCCGTGAACTTGACTTGTGTGGTCTCAGCTACCGATGTTACCCAGCTCAACTACACGTGGTACCGGAACGGGCAGTGGGTGGCTGGAGGCCCTGGCTACTCCTCCATCTTCCTCCCCAATGTCTCTGCTGCTGATGCCACCTCTTACCGCTGTGCTGTGGACACTCACGAGGGAAGCACGCGCTTCTCCTCCTCCAAGAGCCTCACCGTTCTCTGTGAGTCCCATGGTGGGCTGGCTCCAGGGATTTTGAATTGCCTTCTGGCCTCATTTGGGGCAGGGACAGTATCTGAGAATAGGGTTTCAATTATTCTCTTCTTCATTTTGGAAACTGGGGAAATGATGTGAATATTTCATATAGAAGCAGCAACTGTGACTCATTCCAAAGCCCTTTCTGGGCTACCTTCTTATTTCATTTTTCCATCTCAGAATCTATGCTTCTTTAGTCATCTTGGCAAAGCAGGGATAGCAACATGGGTTATTCCCATTTCACAGATGGCAAAGGCAAGGCCTGGAGAGGCTGTGTGATTTGGCCAAGGCACACATCACATTAAGGGAAGCTGGGGGTCCAGATGGATTCCCAGTCTGGGATGGAAGGGGGCAGAGCTGTAGCTAGAGGTCCTGTACCTCGGGCTGGTGTGCAGAGGACAGATCAACCTCAGGGACAGTCACACTGGGGAGAAGGGGACAGGCTGCCTCCCAGAGACTCTGGAGGGAGAGAAGGCAGACCTGGAGAGAGGTACCATATGGCAAGACCCTGGGGGTGGCTCAGGGCTAGGGGCCACTAGCTCCATGTGGCAGGGTGGGCTGGTGGAAGCAGTGACGAGGTGAAGGGATGATGGTCCCTATGGGGAGGAAGCACACTCCTTTCCCTATGGTCAGTGCTCTGGGACAAAGCTCCTGTTGCCATGTGCTAGTCTGACCCTGAGGAAGGGGAGAAGACAGAGGGAGAGTGGGAAGCTTAGGACAAGATTCTGGGAGAACATTCATGGGATCATAGCCCTACCTGGTCCAACTCCTCCATTTTACAGAGGGGTAAACTGAGGCTGGGGGGGTAAGGGATTCAGAGCTAGAAAGGACCTTAGAAGCTGCTGAGTCCAAATTTCTTCATTTTACAGATAAGGAAACTGAGGCCTGATGAGCCAAAGTCACATACTAAATTGGAGGTTCCTGACTTCCAATTGAATTCTCTGTCTAGTGCTGCTTCATCCCATTATCCCTCACTCCCCCTGTCAGTCTGTGACTTCCCCTCTCTTCGACTTTCCCATCACCTCCTCCAAGAAGATCTCCCTGGTTAATGTTGCCCCTGCTCTCATTTCCTTCCCTCTAGACCCACCCCGGGCTCTGCATCTGACATCTCTGCTCGATAGCCGGGCAGGACAGCCGGCTGTGTTGTTGTGCACTGTGGACAGCCAACCTCCAGCCACACTGGCTTTGAGCTGGGCTGGTCAACTCCTGGCCTCCTCTTCCCTTGAGCAAGCCAGGCTGGGGGCTTCCTCTACCCCTAATACCCTTCGCCTTGAGCTCCAGGAGCAGAAGGCCCTCGGCAGTGGCCTCTACACCTGTTCTGCTGCGAACTCTCTGGGCCAGGCTAACACTTCCTTGGAGCTGCACCTAGAGGGTGAGCATCGGATGGGAGACAAAGCTGCAAAGCACGATGGGAAGAGTGTCTCCATCAGCCCACCCCTCTCTCTTGGCCTCTGGCCTCTGTCTCTGTCCCCTGTTTCTGTCTCCCCTGCCGAACCCTCCTCCAGACAGGCGGTTGGGTCCTCAAGGGGACTGGTTAGCAGAGATGGAAGGGGGTGGGCTGCGGGCCTGTTCTTCTCCCAGATATCTCTGGCTTCACTCTCCTGACCATCTAGAGGATCAAAGAATTTAAAGGTAGAGGTGACATTAGAGATTATTGGGATCAACCTCATTTTCAAATGAGGCAGCTGAGGCTCAGAGCAAGTGAAATGACCCAGCCAGTAAGTAGTAGGGTTAGATTCAGAACCCAGGTCCTTTGACTTTAGATCAAGAGCTCTTTTCACCGTCATTAGCCCTCTGACTTGGGATGAGATGTCCCCCTTCCCCCGATTAGTGTCCCTCAAATCATACCATGTGGGCAGATGCCTATGCTGCTTACGTCTAGGGCTTCCCTGGAATGTCTTATGCAGGACGGTCAGCGGGCTAACCCAGTGAACAAGCATTGGTTAGGTACCTACTTTTACTACCCTAGGCACTGGCCATACAAAGACAGAATGAAATAATTCCAGGACAGAAACCATGTACAACTATGGGTATATACAAAGTATAAACAGAGGAAACACAAGGTGATTTTTTTGGACGGGGAGGAGGAAGGTATTAGTGAATGGGAGGGGGAGGTGGTAAGAAAAGGTTCCCCCCTGAAACCTGGGAATCTGGGCTCCAGGCACAAAGCCTGTCCCTTCCCTCCCCAGCTAGTCTCACCTCAGCTCTGTCTCCTTGCCCTACAGTCACCAGAGTGTCCATAGCCCCGTCCAGCGAGGTGCCCGAGGGCACAGCTGTCATCCTGACGTGTGAGGACCCTGCTGCCAAGCCCCCCACCATCTACACCTGGTATCATAATGGCCGCTGGCTCCAGGAGGGGCCCGCTTACGTCCTCCAGCTCCCTGGCACCACCAGCGCCTTGGACGCTGGTGCCTACTCCTGCACTGCCCGCGATGCCCGGGGGATCCGACGTTCCCAGCCTGCCACTCTGCGACACCTATGTAAGGGGGAGGGGAGGGGAGGGGAGGGAGTCCAGTTAGAGGCAGCACTTTGGCCCGAGCCTTGTGATGCCTCGGTTCAGAGCTCGAAAGCAAAAAAAGACCTCAGGGGTCATCTAGTCCAGCACCCTCAACTCTGAGGAAACTGAGGCCCAGAGAAAGAAAGTGTAGGAACGGAACCCAGATCCTCTCACTCCAAAGCTAGACTTCTTTCTGATGCGCCAGGCCACTTGGGTGGTAATGCCTGCATGCATAGGCTTCCTATGGGTTGTGTCATTTTGGGGATGGTGCTATACTGCAGGCCCAGTGCTCTATTAGCCACCTAGCTGCCTTAAAATATTACTCTTATGTTGTATCTATTATTAGTGCCAGGCCTAGAGTCAGGAAGATCTGAGCTCAGATCTGGCCTCAGATTCTTACCAGCTGTGTGACCTTGGGCAAGTCTCTTAACCTCTCTTTGCCTCAATTACCTCATCTGTAAAATGGGGATGATAATAACACCTCCTTCGCAGGACTGTGTGAGGATCAAATGAGAGAGTAATTATAAAGTGCTTAGCACAGTGCCTGGCAGATTGTAAAGGTTAATAAATGTTATCTATTATTACTTCCTTTGATCCCATCAACATTCCTGTGAGAGAAGTGCTAAAGGTATTATGATAAACATTTTATAGGTGAGGAAATTGGTTTAGAAAACTTTCATAGCTTGCTCAGGATCATGCAGCTAAAAATGACATTAAGTGACCCCTGTATTCTGGGAGGTCATAGTTTGAGACAGGAGATAGCTTTTGTCCTGAGAAATCTTTTAGTCCAGTGAGGGAGAACCAGGCATTACCCTTGGGAAGTCCCTGGTCTGATGGCCTAGTCTGATGGGGGAGGGACCCGATCCCTGGCCTCAGGGGGTCCTCAGTCTGATGGGGGACACATAGTCCTTACTCTTGAGAGTTCCTGGTCTGATGAAGGAGATACCCAGTTCCTGCCTTGAAGGAACACCCAAATTGATGAGTAAAACAAGATGAAGGAATCAAATTTTAGGTCAATTCTGTTCAATCTGATTTGATCCAATTCCAAAAATATTAATTCAAAACAAATTATAAGCTGAAGAATTCTTCCAAAGCCAGAAAGAATGACCATTCTACAACCTGGCATAATACCTCTTTCAGTTTGGTTGACCCCAATAACTTGTAACATTGGATCTATAAATACCGCCATGAAAGAGAACAGAAGCATCATGGGAGTCCTTAGAGCTTTAAAGCAGAGAAGGGAGCAGACCTAGAAGGTTTAGGGGTGAGGAAGCCTCCCTGTAGTCTGGCTTTGCGCCCACAAGCTTCCCCTCTTTCCAGATGCCCCTAGGGATGTGTTCCTGACCTCTTTCTTGGATACCCGGGCTGGTCGAGTGACTGTGTTGCAGTGCACTGTGGACAGTGAGCCTCCAGCAGAGCTGACCCTGTCCCGGGATGGTGAGCTTGTGGCCTCTGGCCAGAGTCCCTTGGGGTCACTGGTGGGGAGAAGCCATGTCCAAACCACTCATAACACCCTCCGGCTGGAGCTGTGGGACGTCAGCAAGCAGGACGAGGGAGACTACCTCTGCTCTGCCCAGAATGCTTTTGGCTCCATCACTACCACGGGACAGTTGTGGGAAGAAGGTAAGGGGAAGGGCTTGGGTGGAGGTCCAGGGAATAGGGGTGGAGGGCTCAGTCCTTCTTGCTAGTTCTGGGTATCCCAAGTGGACTGAGTCAAGGTACAGGGAGAAGTGGAGTCACAGCATTCCTGATATTCTCAGTCTGATGGGATGACAAAGTGTCTGAACCAGCTGTCTTGTAGCCTGTTCTATGGGGGGGGTGGGAGAGAGAGAGAGAGAGAGAGAGAGAGAGAGAGAGAGAGAGAGAGAGAGAGAGAAGAGAGAGAGAGAGAGAGAGAGAGGAGGAAGAAGAAGAAGAAGAAGAAGAAGAAAAAGAAGAAGAAGAAGAGAGGAGTGAGAGAAGGAGAAGAAGAGAGACAGAGAAGGAGGAGGAGGAGGAAGAGGAGAGAGAGAGAGAGAAAAGAAGAAGAAGAAGAACAGAGGAGTGAGAGAAGAGAAGAAGAAGAAGAGAGAAGAAGGAGGAGGAGGAGGAGGAGGAAGGGAGAGAGAGAGAGAGAGAGAGAGACAGAGAGAGAGAGAGAGAGACAGAGAGAGAGAGAGAGACAGAGAGACAGAGAATAAGGGAGAGTGGGGGAGAGAGGGGAAGAAAAAGGAGAGAGGAGAGAGAGAGGAACCCCTGTCCTGATGGGGGAAACAGGCCATGGTCTGATGCAAGAGACATAGTCCCTGAGAGGCATTGGTCTCATGTCACGGTCACGGTCTCTGCTCTCAGGGAGCCTCTATTTGGGCCCTGACTCTCTTGAAACTCTAGTCTGAGAGAAGAGGTGCTTAGTTCTTATTCTCTGGAAGATTATAGGGTGAAATAGTCACATAGAAGTGAACAGAGGATGGGCATAATGAAATGTTAAACTACACAAGAATGGACAGAATATTTCCTGTCTCAGAAGGCAGGATGGGGTGTGTTTCGAGGGAAGGAAGGATGATGATTCCATCCTTGGAGAAGACATGTAGACATCTTTTTCTGATTCTTAAAGATTAAATTAAACTTCTCAGTTCCTCAGTTTTCTCCTCTGTAAAGTGGGAATAATAATAATACCTATATTAGCTACCTTGGAGGGTAATTCCAAGGTTTAAATGAAATAAGCTAGGTAAACCTTGCAAATTTTAAAGCATTGTAAAATTATTATAATTGTTATTATTATTATTATTATTATTATTATTATTTATTGTTCTCTATTATTTTTGAGGGAATTGAGGTAGGAACTTGTCCAGGGCAGATCATTATCTTATAACTGTTGTTTGTGTTAAATAGTATTGAACAGATTGATCAAATGATTGCTTTTTGTAGCTGAATAAAAGTTTTGGAGCATAAACTCATCTTCTATCGGCACACTGAAACTGTATCATTGTTGTGGTCATCATCATTGTTACTATTGCTATCATTGGACTGTTCCTTAGGTCTTCGCGTCATGGTGGAGCCAGGCTTGGAGATTCATGAAGGAGACTCCCTCAACATGACCTGCTTGTTGACCAGCCAGGCCCAAGAGAACACCACCTACACATGGTCCTGGAATTCCCGATGGTTGCAAGAAAGTCCAGAGCCTACCCTCGTGTTTTCCCAGGTGGCCAGCAACCACGCTGGGGTGTACCAATGTCATGCTGATGGGTCCTTGGGGCATACCTCCTCAGCCCCCATCAGCCTTAAAGTGCTATGTAAGTGCCTGGCCTCCTCTGGATGTCTCTGAAGGTAGACTCCTGCCAAGGCCTGGGGCAGGGGCTGAACATGAAATATGACACATCCTTGTTTTGTGCATAAATTCACTGAGCCTTTAAAGGTGGGCTTAGGATTCACCTGCCTTTAGAATAATAGTTCTATACCTTTCTGTAGCTATCCTTTTCTTAAAGGTATGGGTGAGGGAGGAGAGGCAGCTCTTAAGACTTCCTTCTGTCTTATGGTTTAGGGCTAACACTAGCAATTCTAACACCTGGAGCAAATGCTGTCAGGGAAATTGTTCATGGGTAGGCAACAGGAAAGGTACCGTTGGATAGATTTTTAAAGATGAATTAAATGGGCCAGTGGGGGTGGAGGTGGGAAGGAGGTGTGGACACATCAAGACAAAAAGCGTCATGGTGGGGAGAGATCCTAGGAGACTGCACTGTAACGGAGAGATACAGACCCTGAGACACTGGGAGGCTGCTGCTGGGGAAGGGAGCAGGGTGTGGTGTAGCCTGGATGGAATTTACTTGGAGTAAAACTTAGTTGTTGCTGCTGGCTGAAAACATACAATTGCTTCCAGAGTTCTCTAAATTTCAGCACCCTGGGCCAAAACCCTCTGACCTCACCTTAGTTATGGCTCTAATTAGAGCAGGAATTCTTGACTTTTTTTGTGCTTCATGGACTCCTTTGGCAGTCTGGTGAAGCCTATGGTTCCTTCTTAGAATAGTGTTTTTTAAATTAATGAGCTTTTGAGTTTTAAATTTTTCTCCCCCTCCCTCCCCAAGATGGTGTGCAATCTGATATAGGCTCTCTCTCTCTCTCTCTCTCTCTCTCTCTCTCTCTCTCTCTCTCTATATATATATATATATATATATATATATATATATATATATATATACATTCCTGTTAAACACATTTTCACATTAATGATATTGTAGGTAAGAATTAGAACCAATAGGAGGAACCATCAGAAAGAGAAAACAAAACACAACAGAAGAAAAAAAAAAGCAAATAGTATGCTTCAATCTGCATTCAAAATCCATAGTTCTTTCTTTGGATACGGATAGCATTTTCCATCATGAGACCTTTGGAGGTGTCTTAGATCCTTGTATTACTGAGAAGTGTTAAATCTATCAATATTACTCATCTCACAGCATGGCTGTTATTGTGTACAACATTCTCTTGGTTCTGCTCACTTCACTCAGCATCAGACCATACATGTCTTTCCAGGTTTTTCTGAAGTCAGCCTGTTCATCATTTCTTATAGCACAATAGTATTCCATTACATTCATATACCACAACTTGTTCAGCCATTCCCCAACAGATGGACATCCTCTCAATTTCCAATTCTTTGCTGCCACAAAAGAGCTGCTGTAAATATTTTTTTGGTACATGTGAGTTCTTTTCCCATTTGTATGATCTCTTTGGGACACAGCCCTAGAAGTGCCACTGCTGTGTCAAAGGGTATGCGTATTTTTATAGCCCTTTGGGCAAAGTTCCAAATTGCTCTGCAAAATGGTAGGATCATTTCACAACTTAGAATAGTGTTTTTAAATGCACAAAGTAAAACACATAGGGTTACAAAGGAAACCAAATGATATGGAAGTCCAGTTATCACATTATTTAACAACCACAACCACAACCCTGCATTCGTGGACCCCAGGTTAAAGACCCCTGAGTTAGTCTTTGCTGCTGAAGAATATTCTTTATCTTCCTTCCTTCCTTCCTTCCTTCCTTCCTTCCTTCCTTCCTTCCTTCCTTCCTTCCTTCCTTCCTTCCTTCCTTCCTTCCTTCCAAAATATCCAAGCAGGCTGTCTGTTGCAATATCTCATCCTATCTCTCTTTTTTCTATCCAGTTAGCTATGACACTTATGGCTTTTGGCTGTTTCTCCAGCTCAATCAGAGTCTCTCTCTGTCACAAATTCTGAGTCTTTGTTCTAGCTTCAGGTTCTATCCTAGCTACAAATCCTTCCCCACCTACCTTACCTTTGAGTATCATGTCTGGTCAGGGTTCTAGCTCCTAAAATGGCTCAAACTCCTGGAACTTTGCATTTCACTCACTATCCTTTTATCTCCACCTTTTACTCTGGCTCAAGGTCTGGCTCTGTTTTTTATCTTGGTTTATACCTTAAATTTTAGGTCAATCAATCAATCAATCAATATTTTTTTTTTTTTACTGGAGTACTACCTCTTAAGGTATTTCTCTGGTTCTGGATAAATCTCTTTCTCTAATTCCCCCCTCCTGTCATCCTGTATTCTTCTTGTTCTTGTTCTTGTTCTTCTTGTTCTTGTTCTTGTTCTTGTTCTTGTTCTTGTTCTTCCTCTTCTTCTTCTTCTTCTTGTTCTTCTTGTTCTTGTTCTTGTTCTTGTTCTTGTTCTTGTTCTTGTTCTTGTTCTTGTTCTTGTTCTTCCTCTTCTTCTTCTTGTTCTTGTTTTTCTTCTTGTTCTTGTTCTTCTTGTCCTTCTTTTTGTTCTTGTTCTTCTTGTCCTTATTCTTGTTCTTGTTCTTCTTGTTCTTTTTGTTCTTGTCCTTCTTTTTGTTCTTGTTCTTCTTGTTCTTCTTCTTGTTCTTGTTCTTCTTGTTCTTTTTGTTCTTGTTCTCCTTCTTGTTCTCCTTCTTGTTCTTTCTCCTCCTCCTCCTCCTCCTCCTCCTCTTTCTTCTCTCCTGCTCCCTCATCTCTCTCCCTTTCTCTCTTTTTTCTTTATTTTCCTCTTTCCTTCCCTCTTTCTCCCCATGTCTCTCTCTGTACCTTTCTCTCCCTCTTCTTCCCTCTCTCTCTCTCTGCCTTTGTTTCTCTTCTTTCTTCCTCTCACCCTCTCTCTCTCTCCCCATGTCTCTGTATTTTTTCTCTCTCCTTCCCTTCCTCTCTCTCCCTCTTCCTCCATCTCTCCATCGTCTTTATCTCCCTTTTGATGTCTCTCTTTGGTTCTCTTCATCTCTCCCTGTGTCTCTCTGTATCTTTCTTTCCCTTTCTCCCTCCCCATCTCTCTCTTTCTTTCTCCTCTCTGTCTGTTTGATCAGATCAATGATTTGTCTGATCATTACTTCTTTGGCTTTAAACCATTTCTAGATTTTCATCTGATTCTAGATCTGAATCTGGCATTTTCTCTAGCACTTTCTCTGATGAATTGACTCTAAGATTTTTTTTTAGATCTTGCTCTAGTTCTAAATTAGTCTCTTGGTCGCTGACTCTGGAATTCTCTCTAATTCTAGAGCTATCCCTAACTCTGACTCTAGCTCTTTGATTTTAAGTCTGCCTCTAGATGTTTGCTCTGGCTAGCTATTTCTTGGATTCTAGATGTTTCTCTAGCTTTTTGGTTCCAAGTATATCTAGATCTTTCTCTCATTCTAGCTCTTTGTGTGACTATAGAATGTTCTCTGGGTCTAGGTATATTTCTAATTTCTCTGATTAGCATTTTCTCCAACTCTTTCTCTCACTAAGTGAACTCTTTTTCTGTTTCTATCTGCCTTTAACTCTTTTACTGGCTCTATCTTGGCATCTAGCTCTCCCTCTGATCCAGGACTGGACTCCAGAATTTCCTCTGGTTCTTGGTCTAACTCTAATTCATTCTCTGATTTTAGGTCTGTCTTTAACTTTTTCTCTGACTAATTCTCTGAGTATCAGTCTGTTTCTGCCTCTTTTACTGATTTTGATTCTTTCTTTAGATCTAGTGTATTTGGAGTTCTTAATATTTTGTTTTTTCCCCCAATTACATGTAAAAATGAATTTTAATATTCTTTAAAAAAAATTGAGCTCCAAATCCTCTCCTCCCACCTTCCCTCCCTTTCCCTTCATTGAGAAGGTAAGAAATTTGATCTAGGCTATACATGTACAATCATGCACAACATTTCCACACTAGGCATGTTATGAAAGAAAACAGGGACAAAAAATCCAGGAAAAATAAGGAAAGTTAAAAAACCATGCTTCGATCTGCATTCACACTTGGAGTTCTTTTTATAACTCTGTATCTGATTCTAGGTCCATCTCTAGCTTTTTCTCTGTTTTGATCATTCTCTGATTCTAGGTCTGTCTCTAGCTTGATCTTTGACTCTAGATGTGTTTCTAGTTCTTTCCATGACTTGAAGATCTGGCCCAAGCATTTTCTCTGATTTTAGTTTTATTCCTAGCTCTTTCTCTGATTCTAGATCTCATTTGTAGCCTTTTTTTTTTTTTGTCAAAGCAGCTTATGGGAGGAACCGATATTACCAGCTGGAAAGAGGGCCTGAAAGATCATGAGAAGGGAAATCCTGGGAATTTGGGGGCTCTACAGAGGATAGAGGGGTCCAGGGTGGACACACACCAGCAATGAGCTGATGGCAAGTGAAAGTTACCATTGCCCTGAAAACTCTGAACATACACATCAGTGGTTGGAATCTTTGTTTGGCTCCATCACTCTCTTAGTGAGTAATTTGCTTACACGGTTTGCTGTTTGCCTGGAAGCATCTATTCCCTGAGCTGTGGAACATGGTGAAATTATCCCCTCTTTACTTCTCCCTTTTCTCTGTCTTGGGCAGGTGGGTGGTGCCATATTGCATAGAGTGCCAGGCCTGGAAGTCAGGAAGATTCATCTTCCTAGGTTGAAATCTGGCCTCAGATGCTTACTAGTTGTGTGACCCTGGGCAAATCACTTAACCCTGTTTGCCTCAGTTCCTCATCTGTAAAATGAGCTGGAGAAGGAAATGGCAAATATCTAGTATCTTTGCCAAGAAAGCCCCAAATGGGTCCATGAGAGTCTGAAATGACTGGACATTTCTCTATCTCATTGCTGCTGGCTGAACTGGTATTGCTCACTTAGGGAGTTTTCCTGGTCCTTTCCCAAATCTTGTTTATTTTCTATTTGTACTTTTATTATGGATTCCACATAAATATAAGCTGATTTTTGTTAACCCTGGCCCTCTCACACACTTTAAAGACTCACATAGGCTGGAAGTACAGTGGTTAATGAGGGGCCCAATTCTACTACCGATTGGCATGGGAGCTTTGACTGCTGGTTTGCCCTTCCTTAGGTAAGCGTTTATCATATTAAAGGCAAACTGTGGATGTTTGATCAGTTCAGACCTCCTAGGCACTAGCTGCCTTTCAGCTAGCTAAGGTTACAGGCAGGGGCCACCACACCCATCTTTTTGTTTCCTTCTGAGTGAGTGTTCAGTGGATGGTTCAATGAAGAAAAGGTCAAGGGGAACCTAGGACTAACTGTCTTAGACTTAACCACAAGTGTATTGGTGGCACAAAGAATTTCTGACCTAGGTCAGGCTCCACGCTTTTCTCTGGTTAGCTCTTTCTTTGATTTGAGGTCTGTTTTGAGCCCTTTCTTCGAGTCTTGTGTTTTCCTTGATTCTAGACACCTCTCTGGACACACATTCTCAGATTCTAGATTGGCCTTTGGCTTTATTTCTCATTGTTCTGTCTTTGATTTGAGCTCTGTCTCTATCTCTGTCTCTGATTCTAGGTCTTTCTTTAGTTCTAGGTCTGTCTCTAGCTTTTCCTAGGACTCTAGACTGAACTCCAGAACTGTTTCTAGAGTGACTCTAAGTCAATCCCTGGTTCCCTCTCATTCTGAGTTCATTTCTAGATCTTTTTCTGGATTTTTGAGTCTGAGGTTTTTCTCTGACTCCAGATCTGACTTTAGCTCTTTATCTGATACTAGGTCTGTCTTCAGCTTTCTCTCTCTCATACTGCAGCTTTTTTTTTTTTTTAAATGTGTCCAACATTAAGACTCATTCCAAGATCTTCTTTGCAGATGCACCACGGACACCTGCTGTGACCTCCTTTCTAGAGCCAGAGGCTGGTCTTTGGGGTATACTGCACTGTCATGTGGACAGCGAGCCACGGTCTGAGCTGACCCTTTATCACGGAAGCCATTTGATTGCTTCTACCCGTCCTGGAAGCCATCGTCATCCCCACGTTCAAGTATCAACCTCCTACAACACCCTGAGGGTGGATATCCAGGATATGAATTCCAAAGACCAGGGAGAGTATGTGTGCTTGGCATCCAATGCCCTGGGCAGCGCTGCTTCTTCTGTGTACTTTGGAACGAGAGGTGAGCAAAGAATCCCTATGGAGATCAGGAAGGAGTTCAGTGCCTTCCCCTGCTCTGAGGAGGAATCATACAACTTTGTCTGTTTGTCTCTCTCTCTGTGAGTCTCTGTGGAGCAGTCTCTGGAGGAGACGCCACAACTCTCTCAGAATGACACATTCTATAGCTTCCCAACACTCAGAGAGAGAGTTCTCTCTCAGGTCTGCTGCGGAATTTTCTTTTTTCAGTTTGGATGGTTCTTTCTCATTCTGTCAAGTCTATTTGATTTGGCAAACGCTTACTAAGTACCTACTAGGTCCATAACACTGTTTTGTACTGAGAATACAAAGTCAAAAAGAAAACAGTGCCTGGCCTCAAGGAGCTTACAATCTCAGTAGGAACAGATGAATTTACTGCCATTCAGATGCCCACCTACAGAGATGTGCCCAACCTCCAAGAGGTAGGGGAGTGGCCAGAACCAGAGTGGAGTCTAGAACAAAGACAAAACAAGGGAAATAGCTAGACTCAACAGAGAGAGTCATGGGTAGGGGCAGGATGACTAGATTGTAAGCTCCAGTGGGACAGGACCATGGATCCCACAGTGGCCGACACAGTGCCCTGAACCTAAGAAGTACTGATTCTGTAGCACTGCTCTCTCTTGCTTCTCCTCTGACCTGTCTGGCCACTACTCTTCAGTCTTCTTTGCTGGATCATTATCTGTATCCTGCTGCTGGTTGTGGGTATACCCCAGGGCTTTGTCCTGGGCTGCCATTTCTTCTTTCTACACTCTGCCTCAGTGATCTCCCCACAAAGATAGAGTTAGTATAACCATTTCTATGAAGATAATGATCATTGCTCTCCCAAGCTCCAGTCTTACATCTCTAACTACTGCTGGGTTTCTCCACCTGGATATCCGAAGATATGTAAAACTCAATATGTTCAAAATGGAATTTATTGTCCTTTGTCCTAACCCCCCCCTTCTCCCTAATTTCCTTATTTCTCTCAAAGGCATCATCATTCTTCCTGTCACTCTAGTTCATTCTTGAGCTAAGATTTCATCCTAACTCTGCACTCTCCTTAGTTACACACATCCACATAATTGCCAAGCCTTGTCAGCTCCATTTCTATAACATCTCTTTCACTGGACACCTCTATCCTCACTGAGCCACCACCCTTGTTTACCCTCTTCCTCCTCTTCCCCCTGCTTTTCCCCTCCATCACTTTGTACTTGAATGATTACTATAGCCTCCTTTCTAACTGGTCTGCCTGCCTCTGGTTTCTCCCCTTTACATCCATTCTCCACCCACATTCTCCACAAAAAATGACATTCCTAAAGCACCATTCAGACCATGTCAGCCTTTAAAGAGTTCTAAGATCCCTACTGCCTAGGGGACAATCTACAGGGGCTCCTCTAGTTGGCATTTGAAGCCCTTTACAATCTAGCCTACAATTCCAGCCTTATTACACATTGCTCTTCCTCACAGACCCAAGCTGGCTTACTCCCTGGTCCTTATACTCAACATGCCATTTCCCACCTGTGTACTATTGGAAAGGCTATTACCCATGCTGGGAATGTGCTCCCTCCCCATCCACTTCTCACCTCTAGCTTCCTTTCCAAGCTCAGCTTAGGTGCCATCTCCCATAAGAAGCCTTTCTGATCTCCCCAATGTTAGTGCCCAGCCCTCACTCCCATTGCATTGACTTTTGTGGGTTCCTGGTTCTTTCTCTCTATCCTTTGCCCCCTTGAAGCCCTTTGAAGGCAGAGGGTAGATTGCTTTTTGTCTTTGTATTTCCAGTACATGGGCTTGACTTAATGAATGTTTGATTTAAACGGCAGGAAGAGCTAAAGATGGCCTAGGCAGGCAATGGAGGTATACACTCTGGGGCAGAGAAACCAGTGAGCCTTCTAAGGGGGCCTTTTCACTTGGGTCTTACAGTTCTCGATCACTTGAATCTGTATCAGCTGCTCTTCATCATCTTCATGGTGCTGTCTTGCTGCCTGCTGCTGCTCTTGGGTCTGGGGACCATTCACATTTGCAAGAGGTAAAACTGGCTGGAAGGGCTTCCAGTTGTTATATTTTCCTGCATATGGGACTTTTCTCCTCCTCCTCCTCCTCCTCCTCGTCCTCCTCGTCCTCCTCCTCCTCCTTCTTCTTCTCCTCCTCCTTCTCCTCCTTCTCCTCCTCCTCCTCCTCCTCCTCCTCCTTCTCCTTCTCCTTTTTCTCCTCCTCCTCCTTCTCCTTCTCCTTTTTCTTCTTCTCCTCCTCCTCCTCCTCCTTCTCCTTCTCCTTTTTCTCCTCCTCCTCCTCCTTCTCCTTCTCCTTTTTCTCCTCCTCCTCCTCCTTCTCCTTCTCCTTTTTCTTCTCCTCCTCCTCCTCCTTCTCCTCCTCCTCCTCCTTCTCCTTCTCCTTCTCCTTCTCCTTTTTCTTCTCCTCCTCCTTCTCCTCTTCCTCTTCCTCCTTCTTCTCCTTCTCTTCCTTCTCCTTCTCTTTCTCCTTCTCCTCCTTCTTTTCCTTCCCCTTCTTTTCCCCCTCCTCCTCCTCCTCCTCCTCCTCTTCAGTCCAAATATTTTTAGTTTAAGAGTATTCTCTTTCCATTGTACCACACCACCTACATTTCTCCTGCTTCCCCAGTTCCCAGGGAAGATGGGGAAAGGGAAGTGGGCAAGGGGAGAGCTGGTTCCTGTTCTTCATCCCTTCTTTCCAGCTCTTTCCTACTGTTTTTCCTGAAGGAGTAGCTCTGGGAGGAATGCCTTGTGGGATAGTATGATCCTCTCTGACCTGTTGGAGCCTGAGCCAGAGACCTCTTCCTTAATGCAAAGGGGTCGGTCAGTTTGGAGATGGGAATTCAGTTAGGCTAGGGAAGGTGGAGAGATGATGGAAGAAGAAAGGTAGAAAGCAGTCTCCTTGTCCACTTTTTCTCCACCAGGAAAAGCCTCTTCTATAAGTTGAATGCAGATGAGAACCTGGTAGAGATGGCTTCCCAGAACGAGAAAGCTGAGGTATTTTCTTTGTTTTTTCCTCTAGTTTGGCAATATGTTCTCTTCCCTAGTTTCCCTTTCCTGGGGGCAGTCTTGGAGATACATACTTGTCAGTTGATTTGATACACAGAGTTAGGGGAGAGGGGTAGAGCAAGAGGAGGAGGGGAAGAGAATAGAGAATCAGCATTTATATAACATCTGCTATGTAGCAGGAACTGTGCTAAGCACTTTTACAAATATCTCATTTAATCCTCACAACAACCCTCAGAGGTAGGTGCTATTATTATCAACATTTTATAGTTGAGGAAACTGAGTCAAACAGAGGTTAAGTGACTTACCCTGGGTCACACAGCTGATAGGTGTCTGAGGCCAGATTTGAATTCAGGTCTTCCCAACTTCAAGCCCAGCATTCTATCCATTGTACCATCAGTGGCCTTCATTTCTCCTCCAGGAAGAAAACAAAGAAGACAGAAAGAGTCTTTGCAAAATTAAGTATCTACATTTTGGATGGAGGCCCCAAGACCCTCAATAAAAGAGAACCCATGTCCAGGGTCTGGAGTTGTCTACTCCATTCCCCTAAGATATGATTTGCCCCCCTTGGAGTCATTCTCAATTCTTCCTTCTTTCTCACCACCCATTCCCCATCCCCATTCCCCCCCCAAATCCAATCAGTCGCCAAATCTCATCATGTCTCCCACATCCTTTCTCACACCCCATTTACCATACCAGTTGAACCCTTCAGTACCTCTTATCTGGCTTCCTAATTGCTCATTCTGTGTCTTTGACCCCTTTCAAGCAGGCTTTCCTGATCTGTTCCCTCAGTCCTTAATGGATTAGCTTTGACTGTTGTGTTTGCACTTGTTTGAAAGGCTCTGGTCTCTTTGCCTATGTCCTGTATCCCTCATTAGAAAAGAGCCCAGTGGGTGGTAGGGTAGAGGGCACTGTATGCCATTTTCCCTCTCTCTCCTCTGATCCAGGGCTCTATACTAATTGCTCCAGAGGACCTGAGACTTCATCTGTGTCAGTCCTCTGACCACTATGGTAATGTTAGCAATAAGACAAGAGCAAGAATTTAAAGTCGTAAACATTGACAGAGAAGAGAAAAAAAGTATCCTTCTTTGTAGTTTGCTTAGAAAACCCTAGAGAATTAGCAAAGAAAGTATTCATTTAATAGTTTTAAAAATAGATTTTAAGGGTTTCAGTAAAGTAGCAGGATCCAAAATAAATCCATAAAAATAGATAGCATTTCTATATTTCTACAGTCAAAGCCCATACTTTTAAAGCTCTGTTTCCTTGGTTTCTCTAATATAGTTAGGTCCTCCCTCCTTGTCCCACCATCATCCTTTAGGAAATCATTTCCTCAGTTGCCGAGGCCAGAAAAAAATTTACCACTTGCTTTATGCTCTTTTAGTGATGAGTTACTCTACTCTCAGCTAGGCTGGCCAATAGTCCTAATCCATCACCGGGACAGTTCTCTGAGTCATTCTATCTTCATAAAGGCCTGCTAGAGCTTGGACTCCATCAGTTAGCCTTCAAATCTCACAAGGCCATAACTAGGAATTTTGGTGCCTGGGGGAAAATTCGGCCAAAGAAGGGCTTCAATTCTAATTGGGTGCTATTGTACTGGGGCAGCCCATTTTCCAGAAAGCCTGATCAGGGCCCCTATAGCCCTATGACCCCCAATTCCTGGGAAGAGAAGCCACGGAATTATCAATTTAGAACTGCAAGGAAACTTAGAGATCAATGGATTTAACCTCCTCATTTTACAGATGAGGAAAGTGAGCCAGTAAATGACAGAGTCAGAATTTGATTAGGGGCTAAGTCTGTGGCAGAGGAATCATTTCCTTTGTGAAGCTTCCTGGCCCAGACAAGTAAGTGAGCCTTTTATCTTGGTTCAATGAGCACCAAGCTCTTTTCACTGACAGGAGCCATGCCGTTTTTTCCCCCTTTTTGCCTGACAGGTAGAAGAAACTGAAGTCAGAGAACCTGAAGGCCTTGCCAAGGAGTCAGAGGTGGATCCCATCAGGTCCGTGGAAAATGTCCTGATAAATTCTGGCTTCTCCAGACCAGATACAGACACATTCCTCTAAACTTCTAACTTCCAGGGGGTCTTGGGCAGTAGTTAGTAGAAATATGGGAGAGACAGAGTGTGCTCTCCTCTTGCCCATCTCTTGTGGACTGCTGCCTCCAATCCCCATTAACCCATCTGAAGAAGGGTTAATAATATTCACTTCCCACCCCCATCTTTTTCCTCCTTTCCTTCCCCCTTTTCCCTTTTCCCCCTTCAATACTCCTCCCTCTTCTCTCTCCTCCACAATTGTTCATTTCACTTCTTCTAGAAACCCAGGTAGGTCCAAAGAAGCCTTTGAAAACTGAGCATACTTTTAGCCTCCTGTTCTCATGTTTCTTCTTCACCATGGTAAGACGGAAGACTATCAGTTGTGTTTTGGGGTTTGTCCCCCGAGATAAACCATCACCATCACCACTGGAGAAGCAGCCTGGACTTGGAGTCAGCAAGTTTGTTTATGAGAATCTCGACAAGTCACTTAAACTCTCTGGGCCTCTGTTTCCTTATTTGTAAGACGAGGACTTTGGACTGGATGATCTCTATGGTCCCTCAGCTCAATATATGTATTCCTAGCCACCACTCTGATGTTCAGATTTGGTGGAGATAAACTACAATATTTTCCCCTTGGACAGATGGTCTTCCTGTAATCCCCATTGCCATTTCTATCCCACAACTGGGATGAATACCAGAAGGGACTCTTAGGCACTCTGTTCTTCTCTGTGGTCTAGAGTGGAGGAGCACTGTCATCCTAACCTCCATTTCTCCCCTGAGCTCCATCCCAGCCCCTCTGTTTTTTTTTTTTTTTACCAGAGGTCATAGTATTTCTTCAATAGTCAGCTAAAAGTTCCCTTTGAAACCACCCTCATTTCTATGAAAAGTTCTATTCTGCGGTCTTATGATGCCTGTAATGGAGTAGAGGGAAATTTTAATGTGGGGAAAATCACTTCAGAATAAAATATTTTTTTTCTACATCTCCTCCCTTTTTCTGTCTCTAATTGGTTTATCTCTCACCTGAGACTGCCTCCAATTTATCAGTTGTTTGTTTATAGTCATTTGCATGGTGTCTTCCCCCTTAGGCTATCCTTCTTGAGGCCAGAGACTGTGTTTTTTTAAAAACCCTTCTCTGTATCCCAATACTCAACGCAGTGCCTGGCACACAGCAAGCATTTAACAAATGGCTAGTTAATTGATTGATCTCAGGTTGGGGCTTATCTCTTTCAGGCTGATTGTATTTTTCTGCATTTTCTTTAAACACTTAAACCATATGTATTCTTTATGTGTTCCAAGATCCCTACTTAATGAAGTTTTGTCATTACTATCTCTATCACTATCATTGCCCGACCTACCATGTAACCATTACTACCATGTAACTGCCATCACCATCAGAATCATAAACATCACCACCACTGTCTTTACTATCCATCGCTGTCATCACCAACACCTTCACTATTTCCCTCATCACTATTACCAGAGACATGAACTCTGCTGCCATTACTGTCCCTATCACCAGCACCACCCTCTCATGATCATGACCATGACTGACAACATGGTTGTAATCGCCAATGTCATGGTGGTCTATGCCATTGTCTATCACTATCCTTGCCATCACCTTCACCATTATCCCCATTGTCACCCTTCACCACCACCACTATCTTTACCATCATTTATGTCTTCATCATCACTACGAACACTATTTTCACACTCAACCTATCTCCTTAACCATCACGACTATCCTCTTCCTCACCATCAGTACCAACCTCATCACCACCACTACCATCTTCATCCCCACCACGACTGTTATGGCTGAGAGCTTCACTCTATTCTCAGGAATGAATGAATTGTGTTTTTGTTATTCAGTCATGTCCAATTTTTCATGAACCCATTTGGCTAAGAAACTGGAATGGTTTGCCCTTTCCTTCTCCAGCTCATTTTACAGAGGAGAAAACTGAGGTAAATGGGGTTAAGTGACTTGCCCAGGGTCACACAGTAAGTATTTGAAATTAGGTCCTCCTGACTCCACGTCTGACACTGTATCCATTGTGCCCCCTAACCCTGCTTCCCAGTTTGGCTTAGGTCTCCTGAGACCTCTGCCCTTCTTGGAGAGGAGAAAACCTGGAGGAAAGGGATGGCCCCCAAGTTCTTTGTAGCCAAGACCCTCTAGATTTTGCTTCACTGTTGCATTTATATTTCGTAGTTTCAGTTCAGCTTTGGTCTTTCTAGCCGGAGTGCTTGAAAGTGCTCTATTCTGTACTTCTTGGGACCATGCATCGATGGAACTTCTTTCCTTGCTTGACTTGACTCGATGATTTGTGTCATCTCCCTCATTTAAATGTTAGCCCCTTGAGAGCAAGAACGGTCTTGTTTTTGTCTTTGTATCTGCAGCTCTTATCTCAGTGCATGGAATGCGGCAAGCATGTAACAAATAATTTTCACTCTTCCATCCCTCCAATCATTCATTCTTCATTATCACTTCCATATTCATGATCACTATTATCTCTTTGATCTTCATATAAATTTTATTCAGCATTTCTCTCTCCCCTCCCCATTGGTGCTGACCTGAGTGCTATATACTGCTACACACACACGCACACACACACACACACACACACACACAACACACACACACACAGAGATTTGGGGTCTCCAGTCTGGGTCAGACATGGAGAGGGGACACGTAGACATTACACTAAAAACAACAAATGTCTCTCACATCTATCCCATCTGCTTTTTTTCAGAGTCCTAGGTAGATTAAAAAAAATAATGATGATGATCAACAGACCTGTAGACCATGCTGCCCTGTCCTGCCCTGTCCCCCACCTCCCTAGAGGGAGATGAGAGGCCAAGGCATCCCAGCCCCCTTTGGGCAGGAAAGTGGGATGCTATCAGCTCGTCTGCTCTAGGCAGGCTGCAGCTGCTCCCGGAGGCGAGAAGCTGGTATGTTTGTCGCTCACTTTCATTTGCCATCTGTCCTCAAAGTCAGAACTGGCAGAGACAAGGTCCAGGAAGTGGCAAAGGGCATGGAGCAAGAGCCTCTCAAAGCTGCCATTTATCATGACTATGTAGACACATTGAGGGGTGATGGAGAAGAATTCCATGAGTTTTCCTTCCAGACCCTCCTGGGTCCCTGGGGATTCTCTCCTGCTTCAGGGTGGTGCTCAGGCGATGCTTTATCTGCCTGAAGCATTCCTGGTGTGTTAGATGGATCTTTTTGATTACTCCCTCTGGCACTACCCTAGTTCAGGCTCACATCTCCTCTTGAATCCATGTTGTAATAGCCTGCTCCATGGTCTTCTCGCCTTAAGGCTCTCCTTCTTTTATCCATACTTCACATGTCCCTAAAGCACAGGTCAGACTCAGTTGTCCTTCCCCTTTCAAACAGTTCCTGTACCTTTCTATTACTTCTAGGATCAAATACAAACTCTTTCACTTGGCATTTAAAACCTTCCACACCTGGCTGCAATTTGCCTTTCTAGGATGTTAATTTCATTTCTCCCTATATGCTCCATCACTGACGTCAAGCCCAAATAGAAATGAGACCACTAAATTCTAAGGCATATTGACTTAGAAAACCACATAGTAACACTATCTGTGTTCTACTGTATTTTTTATTTACTTTGTTAAATATTTCCCAATTACATTGTTCAGGCTGCACTGAGTGTGTTGACTTGTAGGCAGTATGTTTGACACCTCTGCTAAATTAACATTAGCTATTATTTATTATTTATACTTACTATATAATTGATAAGTATTATTGTCATTATTTTGTTATTAGCTACATTAGGCCACTGGCCTCTTCCCCAAACTTGTCCTTCCATCTCACATTGCTGGGTCTTTGCACAGGGTTTTCTTATGCCAGAAATGCAACAGCTTCCTCACCATTCACTCTCAGAATCCTCATTATCTTTCAAGGCTCAGCTCATGTATCACCTCCTCTATGAAGTCTTCCTTGGTTGCTCCATTGTTACTGCTCTCATCCTTCTTAAACCACCTTGAATTTATTTTTTTGTGTCCATGTTGTATTCCAAGTAGATTGTAAACTCCTCCAGGGTAGGGACTGTCACTTTTGTTGTGATATCCCCGGTGCTTAGCACTGTGTCTTACATATAGTACATGCTTAATAAAATTTTGTTAGTTTGGTAGTAATTGAATTTCTGGCACCACCTTTCTCCTTGTTCTGAAAATCTTCCTGATGAGACACCAAAAGGTTGGCCAAGCCTTCTGTGATCATCTATTGTTCCCTGTGGAGGAAGAGATAGCCGAATGACAAGGGCTGTTTGCTCCAGGGTAGAAGAAGAGGGAATAATGTGCCATGTCTGTAAACCAGTCCGTCAGTTAATATTGGGAGTCCAGGGGGAGCAGAGACTTAAATTCAGATGGTATCAGGAGTAGCGTTTAGTCCTGGGGACCACACTTAGGTACTGATGCTGACAAGCTGGAGAGCGTCCAGAAGAAGATGACCAGGATGGTGAAGGGCCACAATGGGGAGAGACCAAAGGAGCTCCTTTAGGAGGACTGAGACAAGGGGAAAGATGGAAGAATAGGAGGTTGTGATCATAGGCGGAGATTTAGAAATTCAAGATCTTGGAGGTGGTGAGGTTGAAGGAATAAACACTCCAGTGTTTATGGTGATATAGAATGATATTGGCGATCCTGGGAATTAGATAAACTGGGAACTCAATCATAAAAGTGTAGAGTGTAAAGAAAGCGTCTGGTCCAACCTTTATCTATCTATCTGTCTATCTATCTATCTATCTATCTATCTATCTATCTATCTATCTATCTATCATCTATATATCTATCATCTATATATCTGTCTGTCAGTCTATCATCTATCTGTCTATCATCTCTCTCTCTCTCTCATCTATCTGTCCATCCATGTCTATCTATCTAACACCTTTTTATCTGTCTATCTATCATATATCTGTCTATCTATATATCTATCTGTCTATCTATTTATCTATCTATCTATCTATCTATCTATCTATCATCTATCTGTCTGTCTATCTGTCTGTCTGTCTATCTTTAATCTATCTATCAAACAGAGGAGTGACCTGAGTTTCAGAGAGTTGGATTGACCTGCCCAAGGTCCAATAATGAATCAATGGCAGGATCCAAATTAGAACCCAAGTCTTTTGATCCAGTCTAAGGCTTTTCCCACTATGCCATGGAGCACTCAGCATTTAATTAATCCCACGGTTAGTGATTACATGTTTCAGAGGGCACTGGTCACAGAAACTGAGTTTCAGAGGTCACGTACAGGAGGTCTGTATTGTCTCTATACTTCAAGGCAGGAGTTGCCTAACCTAAAACACGATCTAGGGGCAGCTGGGTGGCTCAGTGGACAGATGCTGGGCCTGGAGTCAGGAAGACCTGAGTTCAAATCCGACCTCAAGCACTTACTAGTCGTGTGACCCTGGGCAAGTCACTTAACCCTGTTTGTCTCAGTTCCCTCCTCTGTCAAATGAGCTGGAGAAGGAAATGGCAAACCCCAGAAGACTCCAAATGGATGAAGAGTCGGACATGACTAAAGAACCAAACAACAAGAACATGATCTGTTGATTCTGGGGGAAGCGATGCTTTCATGCATTGTGTTCATGTTGCTGTTGGTTCCAGACAAAGGGCTCAACACACCATGGCACCCCCTAGCGGCCTCCTGGTAGATGGTAGATGCACAGGGTAGCACAGTAGCAAGATGGTAGTTGGCAGGCTGGGGCCAGGAGTCAGTGAGCTCTTCATAGTCAGCATCAAAGGGCCCATTTGGGAAGAGAAGCAGCAAGGCAGGATGGTCAAAGCAATTCAGGGGGACCTCATTAGCATAAACTGGACGAGTCTGTGAATAATTAGACAGACTGCTGCTGTCCCTAAAAAATTATTTTATTTTTAATTTATAAAATAAAATAAGCATTTCCGTAACAGTAGGATAATAAAAAGATGATTACACTTGAAATGGCAAATCTATTATGTATAACTTGCTATTCCTTCTAAGTATATAATAAATTTATGTACATTTTTTTCTTTTTTTTCTTCCCTCTCTCCATGGCTACCGTTAGACACAATATGTAAAATTGTTCTACATAAACTGCTATTTATCAGTTCTTCCTCTGGATGCAGATAACATCTTCCTTCAGATGTTCCTTGTAGTTGACTTGGGTATTTATAATAGTCAAAATGACTTAGTCACGCAAAGTTGTTCTTAAGACGATATTGCTACTACTGTATATGGCATTCTCTGGGTTCTGCTCATTTTGCTCTTCGTTATTTCATGCTGTGTCTATCCATGTTTTTCTAAGATCATCGAACTCATCATTTCTTACAGCACAGTAGTATTCCATCGCCATCACATACCACAACTTGTTCAGCTATTGTCCAGCTGGCCTCATCATCATAGCCCAGAATTGCTTCCACATTGCATTGTCTAAGCTTTGCCCATCACCTGAGCCGTTGGGCTCTTGGCTTCTGTCGGGCCATTCTCTAGCATTTCTTGTGTTAGGTTGGGCTATCGTTCATTATTCTGGGTTTCCTCAAACCAGGGCCCTGGGCCCTGGATGTGTTCAGGCCAAGACTCTAGGTCAGGACAACTCTTCAGGCCTGTGTCTAAGGTTCTTTGAGACTCAGGATGATGGACTGTGTGGGGAGAGAATGGCATGTGTTCTGAAATCAGACGGAAGGAATCGCTTGATGAGCAGTGCTTTATTTGGAGCCAGAGTTAGCTAGCTAAGGCATTGATTGTCTGCCACATGCCGGGAACTGTGCTGAGTGCTGGGGATAGGTGAGTCAAAGAGACAGTCTGTACTCTGAAGGAACTTACACTGTAATAGAGGAAGATGAAGCAGATGAGAAATGGGGGGAAGAAGGAGGATCCCCACTTGGAGGCAAGGGTTCCCACATCCTGATGCTGTTACCTACTGCCTGTGTGACCTTAGGCCAGTCGCTTCTCTTCTCTTGGGGCCTCTGTTTCCTCAGATGGCTTCTGTCTTACCCCTGTAGGATGTAGACTTGTACATGAATATGGCCATCACATACCCCTTCTCTGGACTCCCTGCCTTTTCCCTCATGCCTAGAGTGCTTTCCTCTTCTCTTCTGGCCCTGGCTACTCTGGCTTTCTTCAAGACTCAGCTCATGTATCACTTTCTGCAGGAAGCCTTTTCATTCCCTCTCCCCATCCCCAGTGCTTCCCTTTGAGATCACCTCTCTTCTACTTTGTGAGTAGCATACACACAATGTATGTAGTTGTTTGCATATTATCCCCTCCATCTGAGGGAAAATACGGTGTATTTTTGCCTTTTTAAAAAAAATCCCTAGCACTTAGCACAGTGCTTGGCTCATAGCTGGTTTTTCTTTTCAGTTGTGTCTGACTTTATGTGACCCCATTTGGGTTTTCTTGGCAGAGATACTGGAATGTTTTGCTATTTCCTTCTCCAGCTCACTTTACAGATGAGGAAACTGAGGCAAACATGGTTAAGTGACTTGCCCAGGGTCACACAGCTAGTCGGTGTCTGAGGCCAGATTTTTTTTTATTAATTTATTTTGATTTATCAACAATCACTCCTATAAGCTTTTGAGTTTTAAATTTTTCTCCACCTCCCTCCCCAATATAGAGAGCAATCTGATATAGGCTCTACATATACATTCCTATTAAACATATTTTCACATTAGTCATGTTGTAAGGAAGAATTAGAACCAATAGGAGGAACCACAAGAAAGAGGAAACAAAACAAAACAGAAGAAAAAAAAGAGCGAATAGTATGTTTCAATCATCATTCTAACTCCATAGTTCTTTCTCTGGATGTGGATAGCATTTTCCATCATGAGACTTTGGAGCTGTTTTAGATCCTTGCATTGCTGAGAAGGGCTAAGTCTATCAAAGTTAGTCAATGCACAACGTGTCTGTTACTGTGTACAACATTCTCCTGGTTCTGTTCGTTTCACTCAGCACCAGTCCATACGAGTCTTTCCAGGTTTTTCTGAAGTCTGCCTGCTCATCATTTCTTATAACACAATAGTATTTCATTACATTCATACACCACAACTTGTTCAGCCATTCCCCAATTGATGGGCATCCTCTCAATTTCCAATTCTTTGCCACCACAGAAAGAGCTGCTATAAATATTTTTGTACATGTGGGTCCTTTTCCAGTTTTTATGATCTCTTTGGGATACAGCCCTAGAAGTGGTATTGCTAGGACAAAGGGTATGCATATTTTTATAGCCCTTTGGGCGTTGAGGCCAGATTTGAACTCAGAAAGATGAGTCTTCCTGACTCCAGGCTTGGTGCTCTATCCCCTACACCACCTAGCTGCCCACATAGTAAATACTTAATATAGGAGTTCTTTACCTGGTGTCTATGAACTTTTTTTTTTGCCCATTTTTTTTTTTTTTGGTGAGGCAATTGGGGTCAAGTGACTATATATAATATAGATACATAGATCTATATATGTATATATACATAACTAGATCTCAGCATAATTGATTTTCTTTGTAATCCTATGCATTTTATTTTATGCATTTAAAAACATTATTCAGAGAAAGGGTCCGTAAGGCTTCACCTGATATCTCCGGAATTAAGAACCCCTGAACTCCTCTTAACTGACTGACTTGTCTCAATTGTGACATCTAGTGGTTAAAGATCGGTATACCACGCATGACTGGTGAAAGCCTGCAGCCTCAGGTTAAAGCCCCCTGGTGAATAACTCCCAAGCACAATCTTAGGGCCTCACCTCACAGTCAGGAGGCTAGGTGCAGCCTCTTCTCTGCCTGCCTCTGCTGGCCCAACTCCTTGTGACCCAAGGACAGCCAGCAAATACTGGCCAGCCTCCTGAGGCCAGCCCAGTGAGTGTGCTGAGGACACAGACTGGGGACCACAAGGTCTAGGAGGGGGGGAGGGGAAGGAGGGACACCAATATTGTCAGCTATTTCCCCCTGACTATACCAGGCAGTGTTCGGGCTGAAGGGTCTCCTGTCCTCACTGCGGACTTTTCTCTCAGCATCTGTGATGGGGGCAAGTTCTGCCTCTGTGGCTGGTGAGAACAGGAGGGTAATGAAAGTTTCTTGAGGGAGGGGATTGGATTATCTCCTATTTGTCTTTGTACCCTGGTGCCTAGCACAGTGCTTGGTATATAGTAGGAATTGTATAAGTACTTGTTTGATTGATTTAAGACAGGGCACAGGTGAATAATAACAATGAATGATGACAATGATGATGATGGGGATGATGATGATGATAATGGTGATGATGAAGGTAACAATGATGATGATAGCTAGCATTTATAGAGGCTTTAAGCACTTAACATATGTTATCTCATTTGATCCTAAGCCAATCCAAGACTGGGCAGGCAAGCATCTACAGAGGGTCTTTCTGATTCCAGGTCCCATGCTTATGTGTCCAGATTTCACTCAAGGTCAAGGCTCTTTGGTCTTTGCTCGAGCTTATTGTGAAGAAAGGATTTTGTAAACCTTAAAATAAATGTGACCTATTGTAGAGGTAGCAAGACCAAGTATCCCACAGGTGAGAGGTGGGATATAGCCCCACCTGTAATAGAGAAGATTGCCCTGTTGTTTGTCCTGAGTGGAGAGGACACCGATATCTATGTCCAATGGATGACAGGGACCTCACTAGTCCTAGAATTGTCCTGTGGAGTGTAGGCCGGTGCTCCCTGGACTGATGTGTCCTATGTTGGGTCTATGGGTAAATGAATCATGCCCTCTGCTTCTAGGTTCTTTGGTTTGTGGGAAAGTTGTGTTTGACTTCTCTGGCTTGCCATATTCTCTCATGATGTTCTCATTCTGCTTGTAAAGCTTTCTATTACTATTAGTATTTCCTTTCTTCCTCCCTTCCTTCCTTCCATCACTTAACGTATGTTCCACTGTATCCCTGCCCCCTAGGAAAGCCCTGGACTAATGAACGCTTTCCTTCCTTCCTTCCTTCCTTCCTTCCTTCCTTCCTTCCTTCCTTCCTTCCTTCCTTCCTTTCTTTCTTTCTCTTTCTTTCTTTCTTTCTTTCTTTCTTTCTTTCTTTCTTTCTTTCTTTCTTTCTTTCTTTCTTTCTCTTTCTTTCTTTCTTTCTTTCTTTCTTCTTTCTTTCTCTCTCTCTCTCTCTCTCTCTCTCTTTCTTTCTTTCTTTCTTTCTTTCTTTCTTTCTTTCTTTCTTTCTTCTCTCTCTCTCTCTCTCTTCTCTCTCTCTTTTTCTTTCTTTCTTTCTTTCTTTCTTTCTTTCTTTCTCCTCCTTCTGATGCTTCTTCTGCTTCTGGTTCTGCTTCATCTTCTCTTCCTCCTTTACTGCCTTTTCCTCCTCCTAAACAAGGGCTGTATTTCATCAAAGGCCTTTTCTATATCTATTAATATGATTGTGTAGTTTGGGGTGTTTCTTTTTACAATATTAATGATGTTAATTGTTTTTCAGGTTATTAGACCATTTTTATCCCTAGCATAAATCCAGCTTGGTCATAATGAATAATTTTAACTATATTGCTATAGTCTTTTTCACAGCATTTTATTTAAAAAATTGTATCCATGTTTATTAGTGACATTGTTCAATAGTGCTCTTTCTCTTCTTTATCCTCATCTAGTTTAGCTGTTAGGCAATATCTCTTTTAATGAATTGTTGTTTTGACAAGAGAAGTCAGCACCAAATGCCTGATGATGTGGGTCTCTGCACTTAGCTCATCTCTACTCAGTTGGCAGACACACAGAACAATCCTTGAAGACTTTCCAGACAAGTAGGACATGTCAGAGCTTGGCCTCTCTTGGTGCAGCCTTGGGACCCCAGGATCATTTATTTGCAGAGCCTGGTGAGCCACTGAAGGTAGACTCTAGTGGAAGAATGAGGATTATATTCATGATGATAATAGTAATATAGTAACAATAACTCATTTGCCTATTTACATGCAATATATAAATGTGGTCAGGCTGTTTGATCAAGCAGCTTAGAATGTGGTGCCAATGACATTATCCCTGTTGGGGTCAGTTTGTTCTTTTGATCTTAGAGCTGATCAAAAGCCAAACGTGTCCAGCCCTGGGTCTCAGTGGCCCCTCTGGAACAATCTCAGTTGTGCTCAACTGTGCTGTGGGGGGAGTGGCTACCCATCAGACTTGCTCTTGGGTCACATATCTGGGAAGGTAGACAGAATACAGAGAGCTCCCCTGAAGAGATCAAGGACACAGAGCTTGGAGAGTATGAGACCTGATGGAAGAGTGTCTGGATCCTGACTGATCCCGACCCCAGTGTAAGGATCAGGGGGTGGTGTCAATTGAATCATCTAATCCAGGGGTGGGGAACCTGTGGCCTTAAGGCCACATGTGACCTTCTAGGTCCTTGGATGGGGCCTTTTGACTGAGTCCAAGGTTTACAAAGCAAATCCTTTTATTAAGGATAGCATCTATTAAAAACCATCATCAAGCATTACATGCAATGGGGATGAACTAGACACATTTCCAATAAGATCAAGGGTGAAACAAACATGCCCATTATCACCACTGTTATTCAACATTGTGCTAGAAATGTTAGCTGTAGCAATTAGAGAAGAAAAAGAAATTGAAGGAATTAGAATAGGCAAAGAAGAAACAAAGCTATCATGCTTTGCAGATGATATAATGGTATATCTAGACAATCCTAGAGAATCAAGTAAAAAATTACTTGAAATAATAAGCAAATTTAGCAAAGTTGCAGGCTATAAAATAAATCCAAACAAATCATCGGCATTTCTATATATTACTAACAAAGCCCAGCTGCAAGAGATAGAAAAAGAAATTCCATTTCAAATTACTGTAGACACTATAAAATATTTGGGAGTCTACCTGCCAAAACAAAACCAGGAACTATATGAACACAATTACAAAACACTTTTCACACAAGTAAAGTCAGATCTAAATAATTGGAAAAATATGAGTTGCTCATGGGTAGGCCAAACTAATATAATAAAAATGACAACTCTACCTAAATTAATGTACTTATTCAGTGCCATACCAATCAAACTACCAAAAATTATTTTATAGAGCCTGCCCCTACCAAAAAAACCCTCAAAATTCATCTGGAAAAACAAAAAGTCCAGAATATCAAAGGAACTAATGAAAAGAAATACTAGGGAAGCTAGCCTAGCCATACCAGATCTTAAATTGTATTATAAAGCAGCAATCATCAAAACTACTTGGTATTGACTAAGAAATAGAGTGGTGGATCAGTGGAATAGGTTAGGTATGCAAGACAACAGTCAATGACCGTACTAATCTACTATTTGATAAATCCAAAGACTCCAGCTTCTGGGATGAGAAATCACTATTTAGCAAAAACTGCTAGGAAAACTGGAAAATAGTATGGCAGGAACTGGGCATAGACCAACATCTTACATCCTATACCAAGGTAAAGTCAAAATGGATACACAATTTAGATATAAAGACTGATACTATAAACAAACCAGAAGAGCAAGGAACAGTTTGCATTTCAGATCTATGGAGAAGAGAATTTATGACAAAACAAGAGATAGAGAATTTATGAAATGCAAAATGAATGATTTTAATTACACTAAATGGAAAAGGTTTTGCAAAAATAAAGCCAATGTACTCAAGATTAGGAGGGAAGCAGAAAACTGGGAAAGACTTTTTACAACCAATGTCTCTGATAAAGGCATCATATCTAGAATATATAGAGAACTGAATCAAATTTATAAGAATGCAAGTCATTCCCCAATTGCTAAATGATCAAAGGATATGAATAGGCAGTTTTCAGATGAAGAAATTGAAGCTATCTATAATCATATGTTCTAAATCACCATTGGTTAAAAAATGCAAATCAAAACGACTCTGAGGTACCACATCACACCTATCAGATTGGCTAACATGACAAAACAGGACAAAGATAAATGTTGGAGAAGATGTGGGAAAATTGGATCACTAATACATTTTTGGTGGAGTTGTGAAATGATCCAACCACTTTGGAGAGTAATTTGGGGTTATGCCCAAAAGGCTATAAAACCATGCATATACCCTTTGACTCAGAAATACTACTTCTAGGTCTGTATCCCAAAGGGATCATAAAAACAAGAAAAGGATCTGCATGTACAAAAATATTCGTAGCAGCTCTTTTTGTGGTGGCAAAGGACTGGAAATTGAGAGGACGCCCAGCAATTGGGAAATGGCTGAACAAGTTGTGGTATATGAAGGTGATGGAATACTATTGTGCTATAAGAAATTATGAGTAGGCAGAATTCAGAAAAACTTGGAAAGACTTGTATGGTCTGATTGCTGAGTGAAGTGAGCAGAACCAGGAGAACGTTGTACATAGTAACAGCCACATTATAGAATGACTGACTTTGATAGACTTGGCTCTTCACAGCAATGTAAGGATCTGAGACAACTACAAAAGATTCATGACGGAAATTGCTATCCACACCCAGAGAAAGAAATATGGAGACTGAATGTAGATGGAAGTATCCTGTTTGCTCTCCTTTTCCTTTGTTGTTTTGTGTTGTTGCTTCACTCTCGTGGCTCCTCCCATTAGTTCTAATTCTTCTTTACATCATGACTAATGGGAAAATATGCTTAACATGAATGTATATGTAGAGCCTATATTGGACTGTATGCCATCTCAGGGGGGTGGGGTGGGAAGAAATGAGAGAGGGCAAAAATTTAAAACTCAATATCTTTTGGAAGTGAATGTTGAAAATGAAAAATAAATAAATTAAAAAAGGGGATTTGTTCTGTGAAGTTTGGATTCAAAGGAGTGCACTTGAGGACCTACAGGGCCACATGTGGCCTTGAGGCTGCAGGTTCTCCACCCCTGATCTACTCACTTCATTACACCTACAGTCACTAACAAGACACTCTATTCCTGACACCTTTATGAGGAAAGAATATCTTTATCGAGTTACTCAACCCAAAGCATCCAAAAAATCCTCAATCAATTTGGAAGGAGAAAAATGCACAGTTAGATAAAATGAAATGGTGCCCCACAGAAATTGTACTGGGATTGGCTGAAGAGACTCATTCATGCCTAGGGTCTTGGATAAAATAGAAAGCCCCCTTAGAATCTGGGATTTAAGAGACAGGCTAGCCTACTGGTGGAAATAATTCTAGCAAAACACTTAGAGGAAATTGCTTGTTGGGGAGAGGGTGAAGGAGAGAGCCTCTTTACCTTTCCACCAGTGGATGACCTTGTGAACTGTGAAAGGTTAGTAAAATTTTGGACATCCCCTGGGTATCATAGCAGTGTCCCTACAATAGCAATGGCAAATGGTAGCACATGCATTGGGATGCAGTAGAGAACAAAGTCAATGCACAGAGTAAATAAGCTTTAGGACTCTCTAAGAAATACAGTTGAAAGCTGCACCATACTTAAGGGGAACTTCATGATGACTCCACTTCGGGGAGAAAGGACTTTCAGAAACCAGGAGCTATGAGCTACCCCTTTACCAAGTGTGCTCTCCAAGCTTGGGTCTACTTCCCCTTAGACTCTGTACTTCTGGGAGACTACGGCACTCAGTTTTCTTGGGGGATATTTTGTTGCAACTCTTCTTACTCTAACACCTTAAATTCTCATTTCTAAAAGCTAATCAGATTTGGTTGGTTAATTGATATAAATTGACAATCAATAGTGGGAACACATTAGTAGGGGCTTATGAACTATAGGGCTAGAATACAACTTAGAGTTATCCTAGAACCCCAAAAGGAAGGAGCAGTAGCCACCCTCTGGGGACCTTCCCTGCTACTAAGAGCCTAGTGAGATCCTGTCAGTGATTTTCTAAAAATCATTGTGAATAGAAGAATTATTGTAGGGATGGGAAGAGATGGGAAGATGTCTCAATTTTCAAAGAAGGGAAGATGGATTCTTCAATCAGTAGCCTAGAAACGTTGTTGTTGATTCTTGGGGGGAAGTAGTGATCACTAAGAACCAGCATGGGCTCATCAAAACCAGGTCATGACTGACTAGCCTGATTTCTTTTGTGTACAGGGTAACTAGGCTGGTAAAACAGGGAAATGCAACAGACATAGTATATTGGGGTTTTAGGAAACAATGTGACAAAGCCTCTCATGCTATTCTTGTGGGCGAGATGGAGAGACATGGGATGGATAAAGTCAGGTGAATTCAGACTTGGTTGAGTACCTGAGCTCAAAAAGCAGTGAGTGCTGGCTAGATGACAGTTTGTATGAAAAAAAATACCCTAGGATTTATGGGGGAAACAAACCCTGTGTGAGTCTACATTGCGATCTACAGTTTTTTGTCTGTTTTTAGGCTGTATTGAAAGGCACAGTGTCCCAAAGGAGGGAGCTGAGAGTTCCATTGTGCTTGTCAGTGAGTCAAAAAGCATTTATTAAGAGCTTACTCTTTGCTCTGCACCAAGCCAAGTGCTGGGGATGCAAAGAAAGGCAAAGTCAGTCTCTGGCCTGCAGGAGATCAAATCCTAATGGGGAGAAACCATGTAAATCACTGGGTACATTCAGGATGGACGCAGAGTAGATGTCATGTAATCTCAGAGGAGTCCTAGTAGCTGCAGGCAAAGCCACTGGACAAAAGGCCACTTGCAGCAGGTGGGGTGGAGCTGAGTCTTGAGGGAAGCTAAGAGGTGTAGTGGTGTAGGGAAAGCATTCAAGCTGTGGAGGATGGCCAGTGCAAAGACACAGAGGGAAGATGGAGTGTTGTGTAGGGGTGATAGCCAGCAGCAGCCAGATCATCAAGGGTGTGGAGGAGAAAGAAGTGTAAGAAGACTGGAAAGGGAGAAAGAGTCCAGGTAGTGAAGAGCTCTCAGTGCCAAACAGGATTGGATATTTGACTTTGGAGGTAATAGAATTTATTGAATAGGGGGCGGGTGCGCATGGGTATGGGGCAGCTAGGTGGCACAGTGGACAGAGTACTAGGCCTGGAATAAGGAAGGCTCATCCTCCTGAGTTCAAATCTGGCCTCAGACACTTACTAGTTATGTGACCCTGGGCAAGTCACTTCACCCTGTTTGCCTCAGTTTCCTCATCTGTAAAATGAGCTGTAGAAGGAAATGGCAAACCACTCCAGTATCTTTGCCAAGAAAACCCCAAGCGGGGTCACAAAGAGACAGACACATCTGAAATGACTGAATAACGACAGTGTGAATAGAGAGGGAAGGGGACATATACAAATAGACATATACATACATACAGACACACACACACACATACACACATACAAAGATGATGTGAAGGCAGGAATACAGAATTTAGCAATGAATTGGGTACATGTTGTACGAGTCAGCAGTCCAGCATGACACCAAAGTTGTGAGTCTGGGTTTTTGGTAGGAAACCTTTGCAGTGAGGGCAAGTTCTGAGAAGTGAAAGGTTTATTTTGGGGGAAAGATAATAAGCTCAGTCTTGGCCATGTTGAGTTTGGGATGTACAGAAGGTAGCTGGTGATGTGGAACTTCCACTCTGGAGAGAGAGTAGTATTAGATATAGAGATCTGGAATCACCTGTGTAGAGATAACAGTGAAACCCATGGGAGCTGATGAGATCCCAAAGTGAGGCGGCATCTGTCAAAAAGAGAAGAGGGCCTGGAATAGAGCCTTGGTGGACATCCCCGATCAGCAGGTATCATACGAATAACAATAATGGTGATGAGGATGATGGTAATAGCTAACATTGACACAGTGTTTACAGTGTGCCAGGCACTGTGTTAAGTGCTTTACTGGCACTACGTCATTTGATTCTCACAAGAACCCTGGGAGATAAATGCTATTATTAATCCCCATTTTACAGATGAGGAAACTGAGGCAAAGAGGGGTTCAGTTACTTGTCCAGAGTCACATAGCTAGTGAGTGTCTGAGGGTGGATTTGACTTCAAGTATTCCTGAATAAAGAACCATCCAGGTCAGGCCATCAGTGGAGAACTGTGACTGGTTCTCAGTGTTCAGGTCATTGGGATCAGGATGCTTTTTTTTTTTTTTTGGTGAGGCAATTGGGTTAAGTGACTTGCCCAAGTCACTAAGTGTTATGTGTCTGAGGCCAGATTTGAACTCAGGTCCTCCTGGCTTCAGGGCTGGTGCTCTATCCACTGCACCATCTAGCTGCCCCCAGGAGCAGGATGATGAATGGACAGATTTTACTAGGTGATCTCTGAAGTTGTTTCCAGGTCTGAGATTCTGTTTGTAAAGAGCTTTCTTCATGACAGCCTTGCGTCTTGGCAGGAACTGCACCATCCTGGCCACTGTCACCATCATCATGTGATCCCTGCCATCACTGACAGCATCACCATCACCATCAGTCTTGTCACCATCACTGTTACCGCCATCATTGTTATTGCCGCCATCTTGCTCATCATCATAATTCTCACCATGACCACTGTCACCACCACCATCACCATCCCACACATTTACACAGTGCTGTAAGGTATGAAAAGCACTTTCCATATATGACGGCCCCACATATTCACCTGTCTTCCTCTTCTTCCATGTGATGAAAGCAGCCGCACAGCTCAGCAACATGGTGACAACTGCCAGGATGCTCAGGGTCATGTACCAAGGCCCTACCTTAGCAGGCTTTACAGGCACTGGGAGAAATGAAGGGCATCAGACAAATGGGGGTGGAAATCTTGACTGAAAGCACAACCAGAGGTAATAGAATCATAGATTTAGAACTGGAACCCTGCCCTGTGGGCCCCCCCCCCGGGTAGGGGTTAGAGAGGCTAACTCCAAGGTACGGTCTTCTGGGGATGGGACAGGCCAGTTTGGGTGGGACACTCACCATGGTACATAGCTGGAGTCTCTAGCTCACTGTGCTCCACCACGCAGGTGTAACCTGGCTCCATGTCCCTTGACTGGAGCTTCAGGGTGATTTGGAGGTAGAAGGTGACATCAATGTTGGGCAAGATGCCGCTGGAGCTCTCCTGCCCCCACACCACCAGCTGCTTATCCTTCTCCCAGTGCAGCAGGATAGAGCTGGGGTAGAAGCCTGTGGCTGTGCAGGAGAGGGTGACATTGCCATCTGGGGCATGATGCCAGGACACGGTCACCTCTGGGGGCACTGTGGGCAGTACAGAATGCATCACATCCAACAGTATCTGGACATGTACCCTTTCCTTCATTTCAATCCTCTTTTCCCACGCTGGCCTCCTTATTGTCCTAATTCCTTACACATTGACTGAGACCCAGTAAAGCCATGCGTTCAAACCTTTCATCTCTTCCTATCTTGCTTACTGATTTGCCAGGTGCTCTGCATAAAAATGGCCCTAAGAAAAGACAGTTGTTAGTATTCCCCTTAGAAGAATCAATATCCTCTAGGGCAGGGACTGTTTTTAACTAGCTTTCATATCTCCATTTTCTTGTTCAGTGCCTTGTACCTAGTAGGTGCTTAATTATTGCTTGTTGGATTATATTGATGATAGCGGTGCCATCAGAAGAGATCTAAATCAATTATGAGCAACCATCAGGGTCCCATTTGTTGTAACAAGGTAAGGTAAGTTGTAACAAAGACTATTTAAAGTGATAATACTTGAGAAGACCCATGGTTTCATCACTGTGGGTCCTTCCTATGCCACGAGTATCATGACATCTACAATACTAACTAGACAGGCTCTCCTGAGGTTCATTTGAAAACAAACCAAGGTATCTTTCTAGTACTGGGCATCTCTGCCTTTAGCTAGGCTGCTTGACAGAGACAGAGCTCATCCTCGGAGGCAGTGGAGTGGATAGATTTCTGTGCCTCAAGTCAAGAAGACTCCAGTTCAAATGTGACCTCAGACACACTAGCTGTGTAGCCCTCGTGACTACTTAACCTCTGTTTACCTCAGTTTCCTCTTCTGTAAAATGAGGATAATAATAGCATCCACCTTCTGGGGTTGTTGTGAGGATCAAAGGAGACAATATTTGTAAAAAAAAAATCACAGCATCACAGTCTGTGGCACATAGTAGGTGCTGTATAAATGCTCATTTCTTTCCTTTCCCCCTTCCTCAGGCTGATGATGCTGGATACTTTCCCAGTTCATGCCACAGTGGGGTGCTAAACTTATACCTTTTTTCTTTTAACCCTGGTTAGGCATCTGAATAGAATTCACAGCACATGCTTCCCCCTCCTCCAAAGAAATAACAATTCTACCCATTTCTACGGTGCTGGCTTTTGCCCTATGAATTTGAGGTCCCCTGGCATTCTAATCTAGAGCTCTAGGCTCCTGCTTTAGGGCTTCAGCTTCTACACAAGTGCCATTGATTGATCTGGATCTCCTGGGAGGAGAGGGGCCTCACCATTATCTCGGATGTTTGAATACTGTAGGACTTTTCTCATTGGCTGGACACAATAGTCTTCCAGGTAGCGTTTCACCTTCTTGGAACAGTAGATCTCTTCTGCAAGAAGAACGGCGGGTTCAGCCTCGGGCTTCTTGGCCACCCAGTGGCTTATCTGCTCATCCATCTGGCAGAAATCCTCCCCATCCACAGCACACCAGATGCGGCTGCTCACGTGGATGTCTCGCTCCAGGTGACAGTTATGCCAAATCTGGACCGTGTGGTTCTCTGGGAGAGCAAAGGGTTCCTTTCAGGACAAAGCCAGTGTGAGTGGTAGAATGAAAGCCCCTAGTGGGTGGGAATTTTTTGTCTTTATCTCCAGCACCTGGCACATACAGGTGCTTAATACATGTTGATTGAATTGGATTGGGAGGAGGGGAACCCGAAGGAGGGTCCCTGTCTTGTGGGCCTCATAAGGAAAGAGATCGCCTTTGTAAAGGTTGGTAGTGACCTGCGTCAGGTTAAACATTTCTGATTTTTGAGGTGATGGGAACATTGCCATCCTGTCTTCTCCAGCATCTTCCCCTCTATTGCTCCTATTCTTTCCCTGGTCTTTAGTCTCTTTTCATCTACTTCTTTTATCTTCTTATTTATTTCTCTGCTGTGTGTCCCTGCCTCCTCATCTTTAAAACAAACGTTTTCTCTATCTACCCAATCACTGCTGACTATTGTCTCATCTCTACTCCCCTTCATCCATTAACTTGACAAAATCACCTGTAGCAGGCGTAGTTACTTCCTCTCTTCTCTCTCTTTTCTAAACCTCTGCTCTCTGGCTTTCATCATTCAACTGAAATGGCTCTCTCCAGTCTTAATGGCCAAATCTAATGGCCTTTCCCAATCCACTTCCTTCTTGACGTCTTGGTGACTTTGACACTGTCAGATCACTCTCTTCTCCTGCATACTGCTTCCTCTCTAGGTGTTGGTGACACTTCTTCCTCTAGCTCTCCTCCCACCTGTCTGGTGGCTCCATGCTTTATCTTCCTCCAAGTCTCACCCACTGACTGTGGCCCTCTTTTCTTCTCCCTTCACCTATTTAACAGGGTGATTTCACCAACTCCCGTAGGTTCTATTATCATCTCTAGCTAGATGAGGCTCAGATCTCGATATCCAGCCCTAGTCTATCTGCTGACCTCCAGTCTCACATCTCTAACTGCCTGTTGGACATCTTAAACTGGATGTCCCATTGACATTTTAAATTCAACACATCCAAAACAGAGCTCATTATATTTCCCTCCAAACTCTTCCTTCTTCCTAACTTCCCCATTCTTTTTTTTTTTTTTGGTGAGGCAATCAGGGTTAAGTGACTTGTCCAGGGTCACACAGCTAGTAAATGTTGTGTCTGAGGTAGGACTTGAACTCACGTCTTCCTGACTCCAGGGCCAATGCTCTCTCATGCTTTCCCAGATTTCTTACACACTGTTATTCCCTCCGTGTACTCTACGACCAGAAACACTGGTCTCCTTGCAAGCTGTCCCCCATGCTGTCATGTTCTCTCACCTCACCTCAGTCTCCCAGCTTTCCTGGCTTCCTTCGAGACAGCTCAAATCTCAGCCTTTCCCAGTACCTCTCCATTTCCTCCCCCTTTTCTTCTCAGATTACCTACTGTTTTCTCTCTACACATCGTGTAGCTACCTAATTGTCTGTATATTGTCTCCCCTATTAGAATGTAAGACCATTGAGAACGAGAAATGTTGTTTTTTGCCTTTCTGTACCCCCAGCACTTAGCACAGTGCCTGCCACATAGTCAGCACTCATTAAATGCCTATTGATCGACTGCCTGTTTATATTATATTTATTCCCATGTGTTCCTTGTTTGGAGAGGAGAGCTCTCATTCATTCAGTGGACAAACCTTTTCAAACTAGCCATTACGCAAGCGTAGAAAGCAGATTCCCTCCTGGGGCCCATGACGCTGCTAAATCATTCAGGAGAGGGAAAATTGTAAATCATCTGGGGAACCATAATCAGGTGGGATAGCTAAGGAGTTAGGGAGCATTCAATCAGAGGCTGGTTATTTTTCAATGTGTGTTTCTTCTTTTCTCTTTTAAATATACCAGAGGAAAAATGCACTCGTTACATGGAATATAAAGCCACATGGGATAAAAAGGGAAACCAGGCATCAAGATTCAGTAACCATAACAGGAAATGGAGGGAGTGCTATTTAGGGATAAAGGTCAGCAGGTTTCTGAGACTAGGAACAAGAAGATATTGATGATTTGAAGACTCAGGGCTTTGAATAGGAAAAGTAGCAGAAGCCCAGGTGCCGAAGGCAAAGAACTCTGGACTTGTTCTAAGAGGTAGAACTGGTACATGGGGAAACTTACGTTGTTTAGTGAGGATTAAGACTTAGGACAGAAGCCTTCACTGTCCTTTCCCTGAATCAGGGCATAGCAGGCATTGGACCCCTGGACACTTACTTTAATGGTGTGGCTTCATGTATTTGGGCCCTTAAAGCCCCAGGGAGAAGGGAGAAGTTTGGAGGGAAGGGAAAAAAAAGGATGAGAGCAGTGGGGAGTGGGGCAGACTTACTTTTGCCCAAGGTATCATTCTGTACCCAGTTCTGGAGAGCCCAAAGATAGTCAATCTCATTGTGCATCAATTTGTACTGCTGATCTTCTATGAAGTCAGCCCCCAGGACATGGGAGACCCAGGCCTCCTTGATCACAAGCTGCTGGTGCTTTTTGTCATAGAAGGCGATCTCTACATCATCCAAGAAGCTGACCATGGTGAAGCTCAAGAGAGTCTTGGATGTACCCACTGCAGTAAAGAGGATCTCATGGCTGTGATGGGCTGAATGACAGAAAAGAAAGCGAAGAGAATGACAGTCAGATGTCATGGCTCCTACTGTTAGGAGGCTAATGGGGGTTGGACAGGTTGGGCAGGTTTCCCGGGGCCAGTCCAGAAGGGGGCATGGTGCCTCTCATTCTTTCCAATTTCTGCCTCCCACGTAACGGGCACACAGTAGGGCTCATATGGTCTACTTGTCAATCAATTGAGTCAGAGGTTGTTCCTTGATGATGTAACCACCTTGTCTACCAGGACCTTGTGGTTTGGTGCCAAAGCACTTAAAATGAGCACTCGAGATGACTTTGTGGGGATTAGGGGTGTGAGGATCATGGCGGAAGCAGCTAAAAGAGCAGGGGTAAATGACTGTTGTCCCAGAGAATGCAGCAGTGTTTCTGTCTGGGCCAGGGATCAGTGCAGCCAGGGCTTAGACACTCACTGTAAGCGTCAGTAAGGAGGTGCAGCTGGTTTATTTAGGCAGGGAAGATGACAGAGCCACAGCTGTTGCAGAAAGGACTGACCCCTTACAATTGTGCAGACACAGAAGGTTATGTAGTTCAAGTGTAGAAAAGGTTGGAGTCACCGTGTGCAGAAAGGCAGCCTGGCTGGGGTGGGGTGCCCGGGGCTGGCATTTTTTCCTGTTGGGATTGTTTTCCTCAGGAAATGAGATCTTGGGGACCAATTGTGTGTGGCACAATTACACTAACTTCCTAACTGGAGTCCCTGCCTCGATTTTCTCCCCACTCCATTTTATCTTCCACCCAGCTGACAAAGTGATTTACCTAAAGTACAGGTGTAAGCATGTCTTTTCCCTGCTCAACAGATTATAGTGGCTGCCTGTTATTGCCAGGATCGACAGTGGGCCAGAAGGTAGAATTGACTGATCAATTGAGGAAGCCGGTAAAAGTTGGCGTGAAGAGAAGCCTTTCTGTCTGCTTCTGCTTCTCTGTCTTTCTCTGTTTCTGTCTGTCTTCATCTCTCTGTTTCTGTTTGTCTCTCCCTACCTCTTTGCCAAAGCCAGAACATTTGAAACATATTAGACAGGTATTTCTGATAATTTCATCTTCCCGTAGAAGGAACAGATGGTATGTATTTCTATTCTGAACCTGAGTCTGAGCAGTAAATCGGAACTGACGGCTTAGATGGGAACCTGGAAAGAAGGAGGCAGCGGCGCCCTTAAGCTTGTGCTAGATAAGAAGGGGAAATATGGACTTGATTTGACATGGACCCTAGACTGCAGAGAGCAGTTACAAAAATTCAGCCAAAGGATAGAGAGAGAAAATTCCACAGTTCAATATTCCACGGGAGAAGTTGTCTCAAGAGGAATGAGACACCCTTAAGAATGAAATTATGACAAAAATATCCAACTTATTTCAATGAGGAAGGACAGGGGAAACTTTTCTGTGGTTTCACGATGCGACATTGAGATTTAGGGAAGGAGGCCAGAAGGAGCCATCCTGGGAGCTGAGACAATCAAGCCACCCAATAACTAAACAGCGGTGCATTTCAGACACGAAACTTAGAATTTATGGACTCAGTAGTTCTCGAACTTTCAGGTCTCAGGACTCCTTTACACTCTTAAAATTATTGTAGAACCTTCAAAGAGTTTTGGTTCACATGGGCTACATCTGTTGATATTTACCACATTAGACAATATTTGCCATATTAGAACAGACCATGTAAGATATTAGAAATGAAAACATCTTAATGTTATCATTAAAATACTTTTGACTTCAAGAAGGCCCTGAGAGTAGCTCAGGGACTCCTAGGGGTCCCTGGACCATATCTGGAGATTGTTGCACTAAATCATTGGTTTCTCTGACTTTATTCTTTCAGCTTTAGTAAAACCTAATAGCATTATTGGGAGTCACATGAAATAACATATGCGAATCACTTTGTAAGGCTTAAAACACTACATTCTCGTTATCACCACCATCACCACCACCATCATCATTATCCCTAATTTCCTTCAAGGCTCAGCTAGTGTCACCTTCTACATGAAGTCTTTCTTAGATCTTCCAGCTGCTAGGGCACCCCCCTCTCAAATTCCTGGTATCTCTTTTGTGAATATCTATCTGTGATATATTATCTCTCCCAGTTAGATCATAAGCTTTTTGAAGTCAGGCAGGGACCATTTTGCTTTTCTTTTTGTGTCTCAACATTCAGCACAGTGCCTGTCACATAGTAGGTCCTTCATCAATGTTTTTTGAATATTTTATTGAGATCCTTTCCAATTCAGGACTTTTGATTCTATAATTCTATGATCAAAGAGGTAAAGAGACCAGCCACACCAGAACAGGCTTGGTGAGTGACCAGGGCACTCCCACACAGCATGTGGGGGCAGGACGAAGGCTCTACCTCCCAGCCCCAGGGTCCATCAATAGAGCTGCTGCTGGTGAAGAAGGGCAGAAATAGTAAGGAGAGGGTCAAGGATAGCTGTGGAGGGTAACCCCCTTCTTCCTTGGGAGTTTTCCCTCCCAGAGACACTGACAACCCTGGTCCCCAGGTAGGAGCACGCTCTAGTCAGCGTTGCCCAAAGCCTCAGTGGGTTTCATGCTGGGTAGGCTCTGTACCCCACACAGAAGAGCCTATGTACAAGAAGAATAACTCAGGGATGACCCTGCTAACAAGGCAAGTCAGGAGCTGCTGCTGTTTCCCAAAACAGACTTGCTCCTTTCCTCTTGTGCCAAGATTGGAGATGCTCCCTTGCCAGCCACCTTCATACCCCAGAAACTAATGGACAAATATCCCTTTCACTTCCCCAATAGCCTCAGATCTAGCCTTGTAATCAGACCCCCAACTCACCTGCCTCAGTTTCCCTCATAGCAAATACTCCTATAATGTACAACCAGAATGAGAACGATTTTCTCCTTGACTTCCGACTCTTCATCTTGTGATTGCTTGGCTTCCTCAGCAGCATCTCATTTGGGTAGAAGTCTGGCCCCCAAACCCTGTGCTCTCTGTGGCATTCAAAGAAGCAATGTCTCCCTGTGCGTCACCACCACCCTGGCGGGGTTGGCTCTGCCAAGTCCTTTTCTCCATAGGTCCCAGACAGGCGTCTGTCTCCAGGCAGAAGTGACCCTGCCTGGCAGGCACAAGAACAGAAGTGAAATTTAATCTGTGGTAAAGTCAGGAATCCCCACAGCATGATGGTCGTCAGGCTTGGGCAGGAAGGCCAATAATGCCATGGACATAGCTGGCATTCTTCGAGTTGTTTGAATTAAGCTGGATTCAGACAGTGAGCAATGACTGGTGAGGTAGACAGAGCTCTAGCTTCGGAGAGCTCCTGGGCTAACGGAGGAAACATAGCCTCTCCCCTTAGGGAATCTGGAGGCTGACTGGACAGGCAATCTATCCTTTCTGGTGGGAGATATGGTCTTACTGTAGGAAACGTGGAGTCTGAAATTGTGGCTCTGTACTGGTCCCCGCCACAATCTCCCTCAATTCACAAGGACGTCAGTAACTGCTAGGGGACCTCAAAATGCATTTTGATGCTTCCTCAAGCAGCGAGGTAGGGCAGTGGGTGGAGTGTCAGGCCTGAAGTCAGGAAGAGCCACCTTCATGAGTTCGAATCTGGCCTCAGACATTTACTAGCTGTGTGACCCTGGGCAAGTCACTTAACCCTGTTTGCCTCAGTTTCCTCATCTGTAAAATGAGCTGAAGAAGGACATGACAAATCATTCCAGTAACTTTGCCAAGAAAACCCCAAATGGGATCACAAAGAGTTGGACAACAACAATAACAAACTCCTTAAACTCCCATTTCCCTTGTCCCCTTATGTAGTCCTTATGTAGGTCCCATGGCCTTTATTCTACCCCCAATACACACAGGGACAGTCACACCTTGTATGTCACCATTGTCCACAATCATTCCGTGTCCTGGGGGCAGCTAGGTGGTGCAGTGGATAGAGCACCGGCCCTGGATTCAGGAGGACCTGAGTTCAAATCTGGCCTCAGACACATAAAACTTACTAGCTGTGTGACCCTGGGCAAGTCACTTAACCCCTTTGCCTAACCAAAAAAAACCCCCCAAAACAAAAAAATACCCCCCAAAATCATTCTCTGTCCTGAATAAAATATGTGGGCATTCTGCTATCTGACTATACCTCCCATTGTTCCATTTCTACCTGTGCCTTGGCTCTCCCACGCACGTTTTCCGCCCTCATCACTCCTGACAGTCCCTATGCCCATCAGTACTTTCTTGGGCCATTACCTCTGTTCTAGCTTCCTTCCCAATTTTAACTCTACATGTTGCCATTGAACTCCTCAGTCTTTGAAACTTGTGACTCCATCGTCCCTTTGCCCCTATAGATGGCTATCCTTTACTGAACCCATGCCTTGCATTGTATCTCCACCTGCCTTCTCTGCTCTCACTCATGTGCTGCTGAGCAGGGCTGGCAGAAGTCCCACAACCAGACTAAGTTCCTGATATTGAATTGCCCTTCCAGCCCCAAAGCAATCTTCTTATTCCTCTGTAATGGATTCTGTACCTCATTCACCAAAGAAACCGTTCCAAAGCTTCTCCTCTCTCCTCAGTGTGCTGCCCCCCTCAACTTCCCTTTCTCTTCCTGTCTCCACTGAGGAGTGAAATTGAGATGATTCCCCACTCTCTCCTTGCCTCCAGTCTCTTCGCTTCACCAAGAGCCCTTGATCCCATCCTACCCCATTCCTCCACGTTCAGAAGATTGACTCCTACCTTTCTCTTTTTGTCTTCAACCATTCCGTGTCACCTGGTTCCTTCCCTGTATTACTTCAATCACAACCAGGTCTCCCCCATCCTTATAAACCTTCACTAGACCCCATCATCACCTTAAGATATTGTCTAATCATTTTCCTTCCTTTTTCACTTAAAATCCTAGAAAAACAACCTACACTCATTGTCTCTATTTTCCCTTCTCTTGCTTAGTCTTCAGCCTTTCAGCATCTGGCTTCCCACAATAATTGGTACTGAGTACTGGACTGGGATAACTACCATTTCCGAGGCTTTGGGGTTTAAAGTCTTGGGCTGTTTCCCCCAGCTTCTGAAGGTGGACGGTGGCTGAGGTGGTTTGATTTACCTGGCACGTGTAACCTCCTGTCTCTCCCACTGCTGCTTCAGTCAGTCTGGTCTGCCTGCCCTGTGCACAGCAGGCAGCTGGGGATGTGTGGCCCTTTTCCATTAGAGTTACCTCCCAGATGATGGCTGTGAGTGATTGACTGGAAGCAAGGACCTGTGATGGGGGGGGAGGGGATGCTACCACTCTCAGGGCTCTTGTGCCTGTTTGCTGATTGGTGGCAGCTGATTAGTCATTGCTACCAGTGGGCTCCTCTTCCACAATGACTTCTTACCTCAGTGATGGCTGTGGTGGGTGGGTGGGGGGTGAACCGGTGGCCTCGTGGGTGGCGTTGCTAGTCCCAAGTTTCTTTGGCTCAAGGCCCTGGGCTTTCCCTACCAGGTAGGAGAGGAAACTGTGGTCAAGGTGGTGGTGACGGTGGTAGTATGACCTGCCTGGCATGTCCTGCCTCCTGCCCCCTCTTGGAGGGACTTGCTGCTTGAGCAAGGCCTGCATGCTTGTCCTTTGCCTGGTGCTCAGTTGGCAGTTAGTGGAGATGGCTTGTCCCTTTTCCACAGTTTGCCTTGCATTCAAACAAACCATTTTTGAAATCAGAACTGGAGAAGGCAATGACAAACCACTCCAGGATCTTTGCCAAGAAAATCCCAAAAGGAGTCACAAAGAGTCAGATGTGACTGAAAATGACCGAACAACAAGAAAACCCCAGTACGCTTTTCTTACCCTTGTATTGCCTACGAGGGCTACTCCATTTCTTAGAAGGGATTCTTGCCCACAGTAGTACCCGTAATGATCACCTGAATTCAGTTCACCCATTCCAATCCAGTCCAGTCCACTGACACCCAAGATGTAGATGTTTAATCTTTCCACCTCCCGTGTGACCACGTCCAGTTCACCTTGGTTCATAGATCTTGCGTGCCAGGTTCCTGTGCAATATTGATCTTACAGCATCAGACTTTCCTTTTGTTACCAGACACATCCACAGCTGACCTTCCTTTTGGCTTCAGCCCACCTGCTTCATTAGCACTGGAGCTACTTGTAGTTGTCCTCCACCCTTTCCAGTAGCATGGTGGATATCATGAGAAATGGACTTTTGCCAAGGGGCCAGAAGAGTGTGAGTTTGGGAAGTCCTAGATTCCTCAATGGAAGCTTATCAGGAGCTGGAGAAATTGGCAGCTGCCTCTTCTTTGAAAAGACAGCCACCCTCAGGAGGATGGGGCCAAGCCATGCTCCAACTTGTCAGAAGACACATAGACATCGAGGGAGCTGCTCTGAGTCCCAATACTATGTTCAGAAGTAAGGAATAAGAAGGCCGGGATGGAGCCTGGCAGTCCCTTTGAAGTCTATTGAACTGGCAGAGAAATAAAATACAAGAAAACACGATGTCTCTTTTTGGTTCAGTGGTTAATCCTCTTCTAGAGCAGCCTTCTTCCCTGGCCTCTGTCAGATCCTTTAGTATGGAGCCAACAAACATCTGGCCTACTGAGAGTGCCCAATGTCTTTGTGTGTGTGTGTGTGTGTGTGTGTGTGTGTGTGTGTGTGTGTGTGTGTGTTGCTGAGCTTATTAACCCTGTTACGTTGCATTTGCTCACCTGCAAACCTGTTTTACTTACCACTCCTTAATGAAGAGCACGGAAGGAACGGCTAGCTAGCTAGCTAGCTAAAGCATTTATTAAGTCTTAATATGTTATAGTAACTATGCTGGAGATATAAATACAGGAAAACAAGATGGTATGTACCCATAGGGAGCTTACATTCTAATAGGAGAAGACAAAACTATAAAGGCTGAGCTGGAAACTGGGGTAGGGAGAGGGATGCAGGAGGTGATGTTATTCCTATGATGGCAAAGCTATTGCTGAGAAGGTGCAGCATTCCAGAGAGGGAATTGAACTGGCAGTGAAGAGAACATGGGTGGCCCTTCATGGAATGGCGATCCTGACCAGGTACTTAGCAGTCAGAGGGCCATTGCAAACTGGGCAGGTCTGCTGTTAAGGAGGTAGAGTGGTCTGGAGAGTGAATTGAGCTGGGAATGAAGTGAGCATGACTGGGGCTCCTAAAGAGATGGCAATCCAGGTCAAGGACTTTCCCATCAGGGGCAATATTTTTTTATTCATGTTCCTGTTGCGCAGTGGCCTAGCAATTGCTTGTTAATTCTTTGATTGATCCAGTGATCTGGCCTTATAGATAGTCCTTCATTCAACCATTTGCTGGAAATCGGAACTGCATTATTCTGTCACCGTTCCTCATGCCAGTCTGGCCATGATTCTCCGTAGTTTGGCACCTTTTGGGGTCCAGAAAGAAACAGTATCTCCTGTCCTTATTAAGTTGCTGGAGCTGTGTATGTGTGTATGAGTGTACATGTATATATGTGGCTATGCATGTGTATGTATGCACGTGAGTATGCATGTGTGATTATGCAGGAGTGTGTGAATATGCGTGTGTGTGTGTGTGTGTGTGTGTATGTGTGTGTACCTCCACTCTTTTGCACTCAACTAACTGTATCTCCTCTTCCATAATCCAAGGAAAATTGGAAAATATTGCTGGTACAAATTGATACCATTGCTTCAAAGAGACTTCTCACCTCACACAGAGTTTACCTTCAAAGTTCATAAAAAACCAATCCCTTCCTTTAGAGACAGGGCAAAGAAAAAAAAATATGGAGGCAGGAGAATTCCAGTGGCACTTTGTCCAATGCCGATAATTCCTTTCACCTCCACATCACCTTAAAGCTTCTGCCATGGGACACTGGGAAGATTAGACCTGTGCATGTACATTAAAGCATGGTGAGCTGAAGATGCCGGCTGGGTACCCTGGTGAGCATCTCACCCAAGCTATTTGGGTCCATCCCTAGAAGCCTGGGTCAGAGAGCAGTGCTGACCCTCTCCAACTGCCTCTCTCTCCAGAAAT